TTGAGTGCAACAAATGATTTCCAGCAATCCTCAGAAAAGTCCCAGTTAACATTCTTGCATGTAAGCCAGGTGAGTGGAGTGACAATGTCCAAGTAGTTGAAGATGAAATGACAATAGAAATTTGTGAATCCAAGGAAGGATTGAACATCTTTCACCTTCCTTGGCTCCAGCCAGTCAACAATGGCTTTGACTTTATTGGATGACATAGTAAGGCCTTCTGGAGATAGGAGGTAGCCAAGGTATTCTATGGAATCAGAGTGGAACTTGCATTTCTCTGGTTTGGCATAGAGTTGATGCTTTTGGAGTCATTGAAGTACTTCTCGGATGTGTTGCTTATGGGATGCAAGGTCATGGGAATAGATGAGGATGTTGTCCAGATACACCACAATGCATATGTCAAGCATATTGGCAAAGATGCTATTGACAAAACACTGGAAAGCTGCTGGAGCATTGGTGAGGCCCTCAGGCATAACTAACCACTCATAGGAGCCATAGCACATCTGGAATGCTGTCTTCCACTCATCTCCAGAAGAGATCCGAATGAGATGGTAAGCGGACCGGAGGTCAATCTTAGTGTAAACTTTGGCGCAGCTTGGAGAGTCTAAGAGGTTGGCAATGAGGGGCAATGGATAGCGGTCTTTTTTGGTGATCTTGTTCAGGCCACAGCAATCCACACAAAGACACAGGGAACCATCCTTCTTCTTGACAAACAGGACAGGGGCTCCATGTGGAGAGGAGGAGGAGTGGAGGAGTCTGGATGAGATATTTTCATCCAGGAACTTCCGGAGAGCTTTAAGCTCAACCGGGGAAAGGGAATATATGGTGCCTAGGGGTGGAGCAGTACCTTCCTCTAAGTCGATCTTTAGGTCATAAGGCCGATGAGGAGGAAGTTGGCTGGCTTTTCCCTTGTCAAAGACATCCACATATTCATGATACTCTGGAGGGATCACAGATAGATCTGGAGCATCAGACAAAGTGGATATGGAATGGATCTTGGCACCGGAAGAACATAGGAAGATGCTGAACTGCTTGGAACCTTCTAACTTGCAGGCCCAGCAAAAGGCAACTGCATTGATTAGAGAAATTGTTAAGAACCATGCTCAAAGGAGAGAGAGACTGACTCAGAGGGGCTTGGCCTCAGCTCGTACGCTGTGCCCCTTACCTGAGTATGTGCCCTTCATTTCAGAGGAAGTCTGATGATGGTCCGATGAAGTCCGGAGGACTTCCGGAGGCTGGCTACTCTGGTGGAGAGTGCAGGAGGACTTCTGGAGGAGCACAGGAGAGTTCCCACTGCAAGGTAGTACTTCTACAGGAAACAGGATGAAAGGGTAGGATGTCCGGAGGTATGGAGGACAGGAGGACTGAAGGTCCAGAGGATGGGACATCCAAAGGTATGGAGGGCGGAACATCCAAAGGACAGGACACCCAGAGGTGCACAGGACAGGAGGTCTGGAGGTCCGGAAGGAATAGGGGTTACATTGGACTTCGTCCAATGTAGAAACAAACAGAGGTAGACTATCCTAAGGTAGAGTCAGAGGGACAGGAGGTGGACCTAAGTCCGGAAAGAGGGTAAGTGCCGGAAAGGCAAGACTCCAGCCTAGGGAAGCAATCCCTAGACTTGGGACAGAGACATAGGGGACAAATCTGAAGGTCCAGAATTCCAGCCTAGGGAATCCTTCCCTAGGCCTTACGGAAAAGGACAAGCTCAGATGGACCGAAGTCCAGAAGAAGATTGGGCAGATCTAAGGTGATGAATAGGATCTAAGATGATATTCAGACTGAGGACTCTACTGTAGTTGTACAGGGGTTATATACTAGAGGCTATCTGAGAGGATCAGTAAGCAAAGGAGTAAGGCTATGTACGAGCATGCAGAAACACATTGGTAAGTAAGACAGAACATAAGTAAATGAACTCAGAGATGAAACTAGTACAAGGATCAATCAGCAAGATGGAAACAGAGATAACCAAGAACTGGAAAGGCAGAGATGCCTAAATGGGGATAGGTGCAGGATCTTGGATAGAGGGCAGGAATAGGTCCAAAGATAGTAACAGTTAATATCCGGAGATCTGGGGATCCAGAAGGCAGGGCGGAAACAGGACTGAGATATGTGAGGTGGTGGATGTAGTCTGGAATCCAAGAGGAGGTAAAGTCTGGATGTCTTGCTGGATGGAATGTGCATAGGGTGGACAGGATAGGGGATCCAGGAATGAGTTGGATATGGGGTCTGGAAATAGGTCCAGAAAGCGTGGGAATATGATGGGATCTATGTCTGGCATATGGGATATGACAGACATAAGCCATACAGATTGCTCAAACAACTCCCTGTTCCAGACAAGCCTTGGAACTCCATCTCCATGGATTTCATTGAGCAACTTCCAGACTCCTCTGGCTTCACAGCCATCCTTGTTATTATAGATCATCTATCCAAGCAAGCAATATTCGTTCTGACCCACAACACTATCACCTCTCTGGACCTCGCTTGCTTGTTCCTACTCCATGTGTTCTCCAAGCACAGTGTTCCATCCCATGTAACCTCAGACCAGGGAACAGAGTTCATATCCCACTTCTTCCGGTCCTTAGGAAAGCATTAGATATGATCCTCCACTTCACGTCCAGATATCATCTGGAAGGAGATGGACAAACTGAGCGTGCCAACCAAACCCTAGAACAATACCTCCAGATCTACTGTAACTATCAGCAGGATAACTGGTTGGAACTACTCCCCTTGGCTGAATTTGCATACAACAATGCTCCGAGTGCTACCACTGGAGTCTCACCCTTCTTCACCAACAAGGGGTACCATCCAAACATATCCATCTACCCAGAACATGACCTTTCCTCCATCCATGCACAGGAATATGCCATAGACCTCAATGAGCTTCACCAATTCCTCTGATAAGAAATGACCCACACACAAGAACATTATCAAGGACCTGCGGATGCAAGGCGGATACCAGCCCCAGACTTCAAGGTTGGAGATCAAGTCTTTGTCAAAGCAAAGTACTTCTGTTCCACTCATCCCTCCAAGAAACTCTCGGAAAAGAACTTAGGTCCTTTTGACATTATATCCTGTCCCAGATTGCATTCCTTCACCATCCGACTCCCAGATTCCATGCACTCAGTACATCTGGTCTTCCATGTCTCCCAACTAGAACCCACAGTTCCAAACACTATCCCTAATTGTATCCAACTACCCCCACCTCCAACAGAAGTCAACAGAGAACCAGAATATGAGATATCCGAAATCCTAGACTCTAAGTTGGACCACCAGAGATGACAATGTCAGCTTCTCTACCTTGTCCAGTGGTCTGGATATGAAGGGACAGATGAAGAGACATCCTGGTTACTAGCCACAGAACTTGGAAACACATTGGACCTAGTTTTGGTATTTCACTCTGTGTATCCAGACAAACCCAGTCCTATTGTGTTACAATGAGTACAAAATCAGATACGAGTACATTAGGGGCAGGAGTGGAAATCCAGAGCTCCTCATCCATCAGTTTCCATGTCCCCTCTGGATCCTCCAGCCTCCTCCTCAACATCCTTGTCAGCATCATCCAGAGTAGAGACATCCGCAATCCAGAACCCATTCCGGATCCCCTCCAGGAGGATGGACTGGAAGTCCATCTGCTACTGGATGAAGTCCTCCATGTTAGTATTTATCTGCTCCATCACCAACCTACTCCCTTCTGCAGCTCCAATACTCTCCTGGAGGAGCCCATTGGTCCGGGCCAGTTCTGCTACTATGCTGTTAGCAGCAGCAACCCAGGCCTGGTCATCATACTCCACACTCCCCTCATCTGTCTCTATTCCAGTCTGCGGATTGGAGGCATCCTCCACTTCCAGCTCCTCAGGGGTAGGGCTCTTCTGACATCTCTTACCCTTGTATTTCAGAGACAGAGTCACCACAGCACACTGCCTCTTCCACTTCGGTTCCCTAGGCTTATCCACACTTCCAGGACAGGAGGCCCTATTGACCCTGCAGATGTCACAAGACTTGATCTATCTGGACATCAGTACACCCAGTTCCAGATGTCCAAGACAAGGAATACCTCACCAGCACATTAGACTTGGCATCCTCCCAGGAGCACACCTTGCTCTTATTGACACAACAAGTGCAGGGTGCATCCTGAGCTCCAGACATAGAAGCAGACTGAGACTAGCATATCCCTTAGTTCCAGATCTGATAGAGGTGTCATCACTCACCCCCCTGGCCACCTCAGCCCTCTGCCTCTTCTCTTCCTGTGCTACCCAGTAGTGTTGCCACTGGTTCAGCTAGCACCAGCAAAAGCCAGTTCTGATTCACAGGCTTGACTGAAACTTCAAAGTCATGCTGCTTACATAATGTCAACTTGGTCCAGCTGATACAGCCACCATTAGTAGCTGTACACTGGCTCAAGCCAACTTGTAGATAATTTTAGAATGATGTAAATTTAAGTTGAGATTAAATTTAGAAATGTTACATTGTATCTATTGATAATCACCAATCTACCTAAGTGACTCGAGTCCAAAGATCCATCCAATACAACAGAAATGGGGCCTCAATTTGCAGTATGTTGTACCTTTTTTATGTTAAAACATGTGCTAATATACAAATCAGCACCATATCACTATTTAGAGAGCGAGAGAGGTGATGGCGAGGGTGCTGAGTGCAGAGATGTCAAGGGCAAGAGGTACACAGGCACCAGCACAGGAGGTGATACCGGTGCATGTGTCAGGGCAGCCATTGGCAATTCAGGTCACATTGGTGAGGGCGCTAGGATTCAGGCTTGAAGGGAACAGGTGAGTACTCATCAGTGTGCAGGAGATCCTAAAGAGGACTGAGATTTTGGTCAGTAGCAATCAAACTCATGCAGATGCCAACAACAACTCACCAATTCGATTGAATGCACCTGCCGCATCAAGGGATGCAAGGAACATGAGGAACGGATAGTTGTACATATAAGTCCCATAGTTGTAGATCATGTTCCCGGGCTCCTTTTGTAATGTCAAGGCTTGTTACATTCGTGCAGTGATGAGATGGCCCACAGCAGCTCTCAATCTGTGTCCAGAATTGAATGCCATTCCAAAAAGCATAAGTTGCAATTTCTTACTCACAGCAGGTTGGCCTTTCTCCAATATGTGAGGCTGGTCAACGTAATGGAAGGGCATGTTATATCTCAGATGCAAGAGAGTCTCAGCCACTAAAGCGACATAGATCACTATTGCAACTGGAAAGAGAAGGACATGAGTTTCAGTGAGAAGTTACAGGGGCACTCATCATGCACATAGCTGAGCAGCAATTCCTCCTAGCATGATGTTTGTGCCCTGTCTCGATGATGTGAATGCCAGACAAAACATGAGATGATGTACATACCATCATAGTGTTTGTCTTCATGCTGGCAGCATGTGCAGTGAATGTGCCTCCCACAGCTTGTATGATCAAGCAAACGACATCCTAGGAGAAGAGGAGATATGAAAAATCAACACTGCTTGAATGTATAACACTAACAAAACAGAGAAAATGATGGTGTCTATGCTAAATTAGTAAATCAAAGCTGACATTTGAGAATTCAAACAACACTAACATATCTTTGGGGTTAGATGGCTGTACTGGGATCCAATTTGAGTGATAACCTTGCCAAGGATGATAAAGTTGGCTGCAACTAGTGGGGTAGGTGCTATGATAGTGCCAATGATCCTGCAGTGAAAGGGTTCAAGTGTGCACACAAGTGATTCCTTCTGGATGAACACTCACTGCATCTCATAAGGTGTCAAAAGCCTGGGGTTCCGACTTGACCATAACCTGGCACTCCATCCTAATATTTCCAATAGACCCATGAAGGTCACCATGGGAATCATCCACCACAGTTTATACTTCAGCACCTGGCCCAAGTGGAGGGCTGGAGATGTGGGGTCAAGAGAGTGCATCGTCAACAATTGAAATCCATACCAGCTGATATACTGTACAACACCACGAACTGGAAAAGAATGTGAAACAGATGCAAGCTGCAGAAACAACATGACTCACAAGGACACAGATCCACTCCATGGGGACATAGTGATACAGGCCAACACTGACTACTGTCGACACACTTGCTCGTAGATGTCACCAAGAGAAAATCATGTTGGTGTACTCACCAGTTGTAGCAAACACAGAACTAAAGATCATTGTGACAGTGGGAGTTGCATACATGCTGTGCAAGCATTCTTACCAAGTAAATACCAGGTTAGAATACCTGTTGTGTACGCCACAGCATCCTCAAATTAGCCCATCATGGTTTTGATGAAACAGTAATGAAATGGCTGTGACTAAGGTCCAGAATCACTGATAAGTTGGAACAGGTATCTGGAAGTGCTGTCCCAGTGTTCCTCAGACTGTCCTGGCTGCTGGGAGCTGACGTGTCCCTTGGCTCATCCATTGAATGTACCATGATGATGGAGCATTACTGTTCATGAAGCAATGGATAGACCCACATTCCCATATACGATGTGACATAATATGGGGATTGGAAGTGTTTTCATTGTAAAATGCTGGTTGAAGAAAACAGGAACATTGGCATGTATGATTCATAATCATAGCAGGTAGCCACATGCACAGGAACAGAACCTGCCAACAACCCATTGGCTTGTCCTAGGCCTGAGAAGTACAGCTGAATGCCACAATCAAGACTATTTTTGCAGGAAGACATCCAACTCAGCTGGCTGCCATATGTTATCAATAACACCTATCTGTATTTTACAAGGGTGATGTCCAATTCTAAGCAGCAGCTTCACAATGACCCGCACACTGTTGTTTCAAGCTTTCAAGTTGGCAAAAGTTGGGCAAAAGCCAGGCGAGACAAGACCCATGCTGCAAAGCACTGATGAGCATTGAAACCATGTCAGAAAATCAAGCATAAATGATTCAATGTAGGGCTCACTGAATGTTTGAGTGATGTAACACATGCTGCCCCTGGAAAAGAGTTAGGCAGGGGAGGGCAATATGAACTAATGGACATACATCCAAGAGGAAACATCTTTGTGAGCAGTTCAAGCATGATGTCAGGATTTGGCAAATGAATACTGAAGAGCTGAGGGACATATCCAGCTTGCAAAAGGCAATAAATGTGGAGAACATCCTGATATGCCATTCCTGGTAGCCTGCAGTCATGACATCAGCAACCTAAATGAAAGAGGAGCTCGACAGACATACCATAAACCCACAACAGAATTCTCCAACACACTGTCAGACTCGAGCACCTGACACCAATAGCAAGCAGTGAATTTGATATCATGCTTGAACTGGGAGTAAGTTATTGATGACCAATCATGTACCTGACCAGTTAATAGATCAGATCAGGGGACTCTGAAGACTGGGGCATCTGGGTAGGAAGAAGCACTGTGTTCTAGGATGGTAAGGCGAGATAGGTAAGGAGACATCAAGGAGAGGGGGTTAGATGATTACAGGATGTCTGTCCAGAGGGGCTTTTATATGCATGCTGTACAAAGACCCAAGCCTCAAGTCAGAGTATATCCCAGTCCATTGTTGGAACTCACAAGCCCAGTTCTGGAGGGTTACTTTAGGGACAAACAGCATCCGTGATCTAAAGCAGGATAAGAAAGCTGCCTCCTTGTAATTGTGTGTACTCACTTTGGCTTTGTCCATTTCCTGTTGTTTGTCATGGAGTTGGCTCTCTTCTGCCTGTAGAGAGGCAGCAAAAGAAGCAAAAGTGCAAGTTTGCTGAATTTTTGCCAGCATTGGTGGTGATGAGCTGCCAGTGATGAGCTGCCAGCGATGGGCTCTTATTAAATGCATAATTAGTTAGAACCAGCAGCCTGGGGCCTAGAATGTCAGTGTTGCATGGAATGAGCTTGGTGAAAACACCACCCATAGCCTCAACAGTCCACCAACTCCTTGCTGGCAATCATAACATGTTGATATCAGGGATGGTTGGGACTGGGTCAGGCATAGCACACACTGTCAGCTATTCACTGTGTGGCTGGTAAGAAACAAATAAAGCATTGAAATCAAAATCAGCACAAGAAAGTGCAAGAAAGTGCAAGCAAAAGGCAAGAGGCAAAACAGTAGATGGCAGACAAACAAAAGTCAGATAAGAAATAAGTGTCACTTTTCGTAAATAATAGCAGTGTCCTCAATATTGTTGCACTCCTCCTCTGCAATGGCTCTGAGAAGAGCATCATTTGTGATGTCGGTAGATGTCAAAAGCTTGCTAGAGCCTCTATCATGTACCACCCCATGTTCCATGTCCCATTGAGAGGTTGCCCAACCTTTTGTAAAATTAAGCCATTCTTTCTTAAGGAAAAACTTGACCATCTGCAATGCCTCCATCAAAATGGGGCTGAGGCAATTCCTTTTTTTTGTATGGGTTTCACTACTTTATGAAAATACCCACTCGCATGGCACCACAGAGGTTTGTATTGGGGCATAGTCCATGGTGATAGAATAAATAGTTGGAAACATAGACTGCGAAGCCTAGTAGACAGCTCATAGTTAACAACAAAGGGTGACTTGAAGAGGTTGTGAACTCACATTCCAAAACACAAGTATATCTGTTCCATGAGGACTAAGTGTAGCCATGGCATATGCTGCGAACTCCTGATCTACCATTTGACCACTCTCATGGTGATGTTGCACATGTGCATGCACCATGGGAAGTCCATAGCAATGTGAGCCTAGTGTGTGTGGCAGTGGTTGTGGAACCACTACAGGTTGAAAATGCACAGGTATAGAGTTTTCTGCTCACTTGCTATGCATCTGGAGAACAAATCAATCCAACATCATGCTTTATTTTGCTACAGAGACATACCAGCTTCAAGATAAACTCCTTGGCATCCTTGACACAATCAGCCTCCCATAGACTGTCCATCCAAGACATCCACATCGCAGGATCAATGACTATAAAAGTAATCATGAGATCAATATTCATTAAAACAAAACATGGGACTGACACATAGTGACAGCATAAGCATGTGTCACACCCATCTGATCGGTGTATTTGCTTGCCCAGAGTAAGGCTATGTTGATGATAGGCTTACAGTGAGGGATGTGCAAGCCAATAGACTCCCAGCTGTTGATCAACTCTTCAAAAGTTGGAATGGCATGGCTCAGCAAGGGAGTGCTTTTGCTGGAGAGTTTTTGCTAGGCAGCATGGGGTGCCTGGTATGAAATGGTAAGTTGGATCGCAAGCTTCAAATGCATCAGTACTTACCTCCAAAATCACTTCCAGGTCCTGGAGGAACTGCCAATCCATCTTGCTCAATCTTTTCTTAGATATGTTGCATTGAGGCCAAGCATCAAAAAAAGGCAGTTTCCACCTGGGTGGGCCAGTATTAGTCCATAAGGTATGTTTAATGATGTGGCATCTTACCTGCTGCAGTGTCTGCAAATGGTTAATCATGATATAGACCAAATCCCATCTAGTGGACTCATTGAGGAGGAGTTCTATGACCGGGAGCTTTATAAGGTCACCACTGTCATCTCGAAACCACCCATCCTCATTACCCCTAAGGATGCACTTGCGAAACCTGTCATGCTGCTGGTTTGATGCATGGATCAATTGCACGATATTCCTGGCATGCTCAAGAGGCTTAGCTTGCAAAGCCTGGACGTAATCAACTTTCTTGATGATCTGGTCTTCGACTGTCCATGTATTGGCCACAGTGGAATAGTCAGCAGCAACGTAATTGTTGATAACATGCTTCACGCATATGTTTATTATGTGTGGGAAACATGGTATTCTGTGTTCAACAGAATCAAAATCAATCCCACATTGCCTGAGTAGGTTGGAGAGCTCCTGCATTGCAGTTTGATTGTTGCCCACATTATCAAGAGTAAAATGCCCAGTCTGAACAATGTCAGAGCACACAACACGATACAAACAAGTACTGACCTTGGCTGCAGTGTCTGCACGATTGAGGAGATATAAAATCATAGAACTGAGACTTTGTCCATCATGGCTTCCTGGAATATGGTGGAAAGCAAGGAGGGCTGTCTTTAACACAAGCATTGAATCATTATTGGCCTTGGTGATCCAATGAGCCATAAAGGCCATGAATGGCTGGAGCTTTTGATCCAACCACAGGTCAGAGGTGAAGCAGACTTTTCCCTGCGCATGCTAAAAGGAATAAGATACTTCATAGCACACTTGGCAGCTATGCACTTACAGCAAGATCATTCTTCAATGCCAGGAAGTATTCCTGCCATTGCTCAATTACCATTTCACGAGCCTTTGTGCAGTGAAATAGGCTGGTCTCGCCAATTTCTGGGTGCAAGAGACAGATGAGGCACCAGAATTCAGGGCACTCAATCATATTGATTGCCTGGGGGCGATTATTAATGGTGGCTGTAGGCACAAACTGCTACTCACCTGATCATCGGCAACAATAAACTTGACAATTTGACAATGCATTTTGTCAAGCATGAAGTCTGGAATTTGATCTTCTGGAGAGCAGGTTCCTCCCAGCAAGGCACCAGATCCCTTGTTAGGGGGGGGACCAAGTGATTGCATCGTGCAAGGTGATTTCTTGAGCTGTTCATGAATCGTCTTCAGTGACCACCCTTCAGCAAGGCGTTCATTGAGATCCTTTATCTGTATGCACCAGCAAAAATGCTTGGCTGCTTCCAGATAAAGTTCAGTGTGGTGAGTGAAAGCATGTGTACAGGGAGCTGAGCTGGATGTTGAGCCTGCATATACCATGACCTTGTGTGTTGTGTCAATGTCATGCAGTGTCCTGGTGAAGAGAGTGAGAAACAATACAAGATTGCAGACACAATACTTACTTGCAAGGGATGCAAGTTTTGCTCTTCATATCAGGGTCAATCCAGTAGAAGTGATTGATATCAGTAGGCCCTTTAGGCTGCTTGAGGTTGCCAGTGGCTAAAGGGTCGGTGCAAACAGTGCTGGTGATGGTCTGGAGTGGGCTCAGATTAGAGCCCACAGGCACCATAGCAGTGGGTGCAGCAAGATTTTCTGGTTCCTCTTCATCCCCTGAGACATTGTTGAGGTCAAAAACTTCACCCTCATCTGGACCAGCAGGAGCTGCATCACTGGTTCTGTACCTGACAGGAAGTTGACACTAACAGGGGTGCTGTAGAGTAGTGGCATTTGCTGCAGCAGCAGGGATAGCAGCTGGGATAGCAATGGGGATAGCAGCTGGGATGGCAGTGGGGATAGCAGGGATAGCAGCAGAGGCAGTGGGGATATCAGTAGCAACAGGAGAAACACCAGTTGCCTGGGTCTTATTCTGTCCATGTCAATGACCTCACATTTGTAGTAGACTTGATGATAACTCAATGACAGAACCGTCTGTCTTTATAAGAGTTCTGCCTGGGAAACCCCAGAAAATCCCCATGTATGCGAAGCACATCGCAGGTGCCAATGTGGTGGAATAGGGCAGGGTATTGGTGGAAGGTCACCCATGCAGCATGTGATAGCCTGTAGGGTGATGATATGAATTAGACAATATAAGAGAAGCAAACAGTAAAAGTGCGATGCACAAGTTTGGCACCTGTTGGATAACTGACAGGGTGTGGGCATAGTTGGTCTTCTTCATCTGTTTTCTGTCAATAAAAGCTTATAAAGCACTATGATTTGGTAGGGGTGAGGGTGGGTGGGGGATCTCACTCAGTGAAGGACATACCTGGAGACTAAAGTGAATTGGCTCCATGTGGCTTTTACCATTAGATAGATAGTAGCTTGAGAAACAAACAACTTATCTTCATCCTCAGGGTTTCAATTCCAAACCCAGATCACAAGGCAATAAAGTCATCTACCAAAAGGTTAGCGATACATTGGAAAAGGGTCCCCCATGTGGCCTTGCATGTAGGTGTGGATGACTACCACTCCTAGAATTTGATCACCACAAAATACAGTTTTATGATTGATACAACAACTATTATCTTGTACAAAACTTGAATTGCTGAACCCTATCACCTAGTGACGCAGCCTGTTTAAAAGTGATTCAAAACTTCAGTTGCAAATAACCATAAGTGCCAATGAGACCCTCACCTTGGCAATCATGTCTGATCAGCAGGAGCAAATGTGACAGCAAAATATATGGTGATTCTAAGTGATGATGAAGGTTTGGTGCAAAGATTGATAGCTGCACAATGCGCAGCATGCTGAAGGGAAAATAGACAGATTAGTAAGTGGTTCACACTGAAGGCAGTGCACAAATATATGTGATCCATTGCAGTACACTAACATATTGCTAACATATGTAAGGATGAGACTTGGAACCAAATTGTGTGACTCTTATAATATATATGTGTAGTCTACAACAGCAACATTCAGTAACCAGTCAACATTTCTGCTGTGGAGTTGACGTAGCACACCATGAGGAGCCATTGCACGGGCGTAACCTTGTAGTTAAGTTAAACTTCAGTTCAAAGATATGGAACAAACAGGTTACTCACATACAAGTCAATCTGCGAACTGCCTCTGGTGGACATGGTGATCTTGCTTTGGCCACACAGCACTGATCAGGTGATAGAAGGGGATGTATGGCAGAACCATTGGGTTGACTGAAATCCAACATGCATGTAGCTGGTGCAGGCAATGTGGCACAAAGACCATGAAGTAATGAACGGAGGTGATCATAATCAGGATCTTCTGCAAATGTGAGAGAGCAGGTGTAAATAAGAATTGTTGCAAACTCAGTGGGGATGTTGTGACATATTTCTGCAATGGTAGTGTGTGCTTTGCATGCGAGTATAGTAGAGCTGGACAACTTCTCATCATCATGGGTTAGCCATGGAAGGGAGCCTCACAAGAAATAGATCAGCATGTAAATGAGTGACTCAAGATCATCACGATGACCTGGCTCAACTCCTAAGTGATTGTTGATCGAGGCGAATGCAGGAGTGCCAGAGAGACTTCAATCATGGTGAAATGGCACATGGTCACTGGTTGTAGTGTTCCAGTATGTCTTCATGATACCAAAGTCTATAATAAAGGCGGTGTGCCTTGAATTTCCAAGACCCACCAAGATGTTCTGCAGTTTGATGTCGCTGTGAACATAATTGTGAAAGTGAATATACTCAAGATGTGAGAGCTAGGAAAGTCAGTCAACCTATCTGCATAGACCTCAGACCAAATGACTTACCAACTGGACTCCTAGATTGATGACATTAAGAAGGCTAAATCTTCGATTGTTTGTGAGGAAGAGTTGGTGGAGTGATGGCCCAAGAAGTTTGAGAACCAGCACATGATACGCTGACTCTCTACTGAACCAGAAGGTGCAGGGGATGCCAACTCTGCCTTCGAGTTGTTTCAAGATCCAGTATTCACACTCCAGAGAAGATGAGTGGTTGACAACAGTTTCAAGTTTGAGAGCAACATGATCATCATTGATGATATTTCATGCAGAATATATGACAGCTAAGTTGTACAACATAAGTGGGTCTGAACCAGGATAACAAAATTGACTACATACCATATGAGCCAGATCCTAAAATATCTCCCAGCCTAAATCTACCATCCACTCAAGCTGGGACCTTATTCATGGTAACTTACAGTGAATCCAACCAAATAGTGGGGAGATGTTGGAGAAAGCCTGAAAATGAGTTCACTATGCGACCCCCTCCAGCTGGCTTGAAGCCAGCTCAAGCCATTGTTCCCACATTCTTGGCTTATGTTATACATGCCAGTTGAGGTTGCCTTGTGGACCAGACCGAGCCACACATGAGTGACTTGGTTCATGAGGATCGCCGAACTGCTGGTTTATTGGTAAGAGCCAAGCCTGGACCAGCCATAGCTGAGCTATGACACTACTACTACCCAGAGCTCAGACTGCTCTATCTGCTTCCTCTCCTCACATTTCCATTCCACTTCCTGATGCTTCTGCTCCTCTTCCTCTTCCTCTCTCTGAGCTGCAGCCTCCACGAGTGCCATCTGGCACTGAAGTTCCACAAGAGTCTCCCTAGCAGATTTCTGACCACTGGATTTGTTGCCAGACATGATATTTCAAAGCTAGTATAAGTGGGTGAAGTGGGGAAAGGAAGGAAGACCTAGGACACTTTGGTGTCTTTATATCTGTGGAAACCCAAACTCACAAACTCCACCCATCAGCTTCTCCATCAATTCTTGCCCTCATATCGTCTGGTCCAGATCGTCAGATCTTGTGCCTCTAGGAATCAGCCCTAAAGGGGGGATACTGTCATATCCACATCTTATCCCCCTCCAACATCTCATCATCCAATCTGTCCACTCATCTGGTCCAGTCCACAATTCATTCAAATCCACAACCAGTGCTCATCTCCTTTTGGTAATCCCCTAACTCCAGTATTTCAGCTATCTGTATATCTGTCCTGCTCCCTGATCCATTACCTATGCTTCATTTCCATTTCATGATTTGTGATCTGTTTCTACTTACCAATAGACTATCCATATGCTTTGTACATAGCCTCAGACTCTGCTGATTGATCATTCCATTAGATACCTATAGTATATAACCTCCTGTAACTCTCTGTAGCACCTCAGTTCAAATATCAACTTAGTTCTGCTCATTCCTGTCCTCCAGACCTGAGTATCTCTACTCTCATTACCCTCCAAGACTTAGGATTGATTCATATAATCTATCTGCATCCGCCTCTGTCTACAACAGCCACTACCACTAGTTTCTAGTCTGGACTTGTCTGGATTAGCCTTACAATACTTATCCCACATCTGGAAGTCATCCAGATCTGCTACGCTACCTGTCCAACCCTCTGGACGCGTTAGTCTTGTCTTCCTGAAATAAGGGGCAATACTCAAGTAAGGGGCACAGCACATGAGCTGAGGCCGAAGCCCTTCAGATCCAGTTAGCCCTTGAGTATGACCTTAACAGTGCTGTTGATCATGCTGTGTTCATTTATGACAAGACTACCCCTTTCTCAGGCCACATTGTTTGCATTGTTGGGTGGCATGTCAATGACAGCATGGGGATGTCTAGCTCAAAACCCTTCCTGCAAATTGTCAAGAGTCACATAGCTCAGTGCTTCAGTATCAAAGACTTAGGACCCATTGAACGTTTCCTTGGGATGCAATTCAAGTGTAAATGCTCAACATGACAATTGTGGATACATCAAGGAGAATACATATCCTACCTTCTCAATGAATATGACTTCTTAGATTGCAATCCCATCCAGCTTCCCCTTGATGCTAAACACCCATTTGGTCTTGATACCAATGTCTACAATGAGATTGCTAACCTTCCAACTTATTACAGGAAGATCATCAGTGAGCTATTGTACTTGGCCATTTGTACCAGAGCTGACATCACCTTTACCATTAATGCACTCACTCAACACAGTGCACATCCTGCCCCCCACTTTTACACTGCAGCTAAGTGCCTGCTTCACTACTTGAGTGGCACCATCAATTATTGTGCTCACTATGGGGGGGACAGAGCTGATGAGAGGCTGCAGGGGTACTGTGATGCAGACTGGGCAAGTTCACCAGATGATAGACTCTCCATCTCAGGATACACTTGGTTCTCTGCCAGCAGGTTAATCAATCACATCTCCAAGAAACAGACCACTCATGTGCTTTCCTCCACTGAAGCTGAGTACATGGCCATCACTCACGCTTTGCAAGAAGGGATCTGGATCAACCCTCTTCATCTCATTGCATGTCTCACTCCTCCTTCCCATTGTCCTGTACATGGATAACACTAGTGCCTCCTGATTCAAGGAAGCAAAGAACAACATCTGTTCCAAACATATCAATATTCACTACCATTTCATTTGCAAATACATTGAGAACAGCACCTTCTTGCCATACTGGATCCCATACCATAGGAATGTCACTGATATCCTAATGAAGGCTCTCTCACATCCATTGTTTCAGCAGCATACCACCAGTCTACAGTTGGTGTCTTAGTGAGAGGGTGTGTTAGCTATTCCATTACCATTCTTGCACTATCTCCTATCTTGTTCACCTTCAGCACCATATGTTGTAGACACTTCCTGAATTCTGTACCACATGGCACTTCCACACATCAATCCTCTGGTACAACTTAGCTAATCATTACAGTACATATTTAGTCCTTCTTATCTCTGTCCAAACACCTCAGTATTGTCTCATAACACTACTGAGGTGTGCATATCTTTGACTCACACTTATCTTGTACTGATGTACCTTAGCTCATGTTCTCTCACTAGGTACTACCAATATAGTATTGTCTCATAACACTACTGAGCTCACATTCTCTCACTAGTGTATACCAGAGACCTGGAGAAACAACTGAGCTATGGTGGGCACTCCATTGGGGTACTTCAAAGGAGGGGACACACATAATTCTGCATGGAACCCACTACTTTGAATCATTATGTGTGCATCAATGCCTAAGAAAACAAACTTGCTACAGTACAGCATTCATATGTTGTAGACCTGGACATTGTATGACAATGAAGTAAGTAATGGTGCTTCTTCACTACTCAATGGATATGACATTACACATGCTGGAGTAGCACAACTCTGATAGGATTCCCAGAACAGGAACATTGGCACACTCAACCACATGTACAGGTACCATCATCAGTAAACTGGTGAGACTCAGATATTACACCACCAACTGCCCAAAACCTATGGTAGAGCCCTAAAATGGTTGAGGTGTAGACTAGCCCTGAGAATTATTTATTATATGGTTTCACACTATCTCTGTGAGAGGTTTCATGTAGAGCTGTGTGAGAGCTGGGAAACAGCCCTATAAGCGGTGATGTGGCTAAAGAAAGAAATTACACTAAAATTTAAAATGTAAGCCTCTCTGATTTGAACTCAAGCACTCACCTTTGACCAACATACATACTTCACATGCACAACCCATTAGGTCATAAACCCTTGTATTTGGTAGGTCTCAACTTATATATGACAACCAGCAGGTCATCTCATCACAAATTTTGCTAAGTCTTGTGCACCAAGTCCTAATCAGTCTCTACTGTCTAGCAATTATTGTAGTGTAACATGTATTTTGCAGGAAGCAGTTCTTGTGAAATTCAAGTTCTATATAATGTATTTACATTCACACTGCTTAGGTAAATAGAACCAAGTGTATTTTGTGTAGAATACAGATGCTAGTCCAACAAACTTAGAGTTCATTATAGAGTTCTTGGACAGGATGTTCACACAAGCTTTTTCATAGGTATACCATAGGTTTGATACTTATGTAGATCTATGGACAAGCCCCAGATTGGACCAAATATGAGCTATAACCAGTCTATTACCCAGGTGGGAAAAAAAACCTTTGATAAGCATTGGATCTATGGGCTTTACAGCATTATTTATTTATTTATGTACTAAGTCTCTATTCAAACTTGTATCCACCTGTTGCCAAGGTGTTACAAATGGTTTTCACACTATCTCTCTACAGCCCAATGTGGCAGTTGGTGGTGTAGTTGATATTGTAGTATTTTGTAAGCCCAATGCTTCTTTCCTGTATATTATGATACAAAGTAATATATAGCAATCTAAAGCAATGTAATCACCCCAATTCATGCTGGATTCGGACCTACTATCCATTACACTCTATTCATGACAGATGGCTATTTCATGATTTTTGTCTACAGCACTCAATTTCAAAGTAATTGCTTAGCCACTTTACTGATATGAATCACAAATGTCTGCTGGGCAGGCTGTAATTCAGCCAGTGTGACTGTCTGTTACTATTCGTGACATGAGTGTGACTCACGAAATAGCCGTCCGTCACGAGTAGAGTGTAATGGATAGTATATATTGCTTTACATCACTTTATATTACTTTATATTAATATTGTTTTATAACATTATGTACAGGAAACAGGTACAAAATCTGGGAATATCTGAGTCTCACCAGTTTGCTGATGCCATGCGCTTGAGACTAGCTGAAAGTTGATAAATAGCGGATATGAAAGCACCATGCAGAAATCTAACTCAGATATATGGGGTGAGTTGTATCTTTTGAAATCTATAAACGTGAAGATACTTACCTTTGCTGCTTATCATGTCATCAGACCCAGTATAATTCTTGCCTTCGATGTGAGGATGGGAGGACATGGTATCATCATTTAGCAACTGAAACTTTCGGTCGCCACAATGCTTTTATGATGGAAATTACCCACCCCGATTCGACATTGCCGCGTACCGCAAAATGCTGTGAGCTAACCGGAGAACCCGCAGCTTGCAAAATACTCATTACAATGCGAGATGAGGGCAGGATGCGGCTCATTGCTAGAGGTCAACCAACAGCTCTATCAGTCACGATTGAATAAGGAAAAATGGTGGTACATCATGATCACACAAAAATATTGCCTTACGAGAGCCATATAAACGATGCACGTGTCACTTTTTATCAGGACTATATCAAAGGCATGAAGATGCACGCATAACGTGAGGCTTGTATTGATATGAGAATTGTCCGAGCTGCATAAAGTTGTGCCAGACAGACGGACGGCGGTAGGCATTGTTTTGGTTTATTGTCCAAAAGCTTCCGGGGGGACCGCGATTTAATAGCTTCCATTTGGGAGAAAGCCGCGTGCCCTCCATACGTTCAGCACGCGTCCACGAGGTACTTAAAGACCGTCTCCGCATTTGTTGGCTACACTCACAGCCGCCATGGCGTACGAGCCAAGGCCCTCAACTGACCAAGGTATGATTCTAGTCAGGCAAGTATGATCTATGTTTGTTACTTACTTCGAGAACAGAGTCTGCACCTCTCTTGCGAGGTGGAGATGATGATCCTCCGCAAAGCGCCCAGTCACGCTCTCCCCACCCATCTATGTCCCGAAGAATTGCCGACGTCGTCCAAGAACCACTTACTGGCCTCACTAAAGTACTGCTTGTTGAAGTTCTCATATTGCTCCTCATAAGTTCTGTCTTTATTGGCCTATTCGCTGGTGCACAACATAAACTGAATCTACGAAACGGTACTCCTGGTGGTGGAGGTGGAGACGGAGGTGGAGGTAATACTACCCTGACCAAGACCGCAACAGCTACAGTGACTCACACGACTACTGCTGCAACGACTAAAATCTCTGGCATTGTGACCACCAGCACTGCCGTGTCTACGATGTTTTCTACGGTCTTCGGTACAACTACAGCGACCAAAATTGCGACGACTACTTCCACAAAAACATCTGTTTCTACCTCGGTTTCTACTTCCACTTATACAACGACAGATGTTCACACGCGCACAGTGATCGTCGGGCCAGAGCCCACAGGACCTCCCGAGAATCCCAACCCTCCGGCGCCTCCATCAGTAGGTCTATTTGCATGTGGTTGAACCATGCCTCACCATCTACAGGATAAGTGCCTCACTCCGGGTTGCATCATCTTGGCTGCTTCCATTCTATCTTCTCTGGACAAAACACAAGACCCTTGCGAAAATTTCTATGATTTTGCAAGTAAGTCAGCACGTGGTTTTGTATTGTATCCGCTGCATTGCTTAATTACAACATCAGACGGTGGTTGGATAGCCTCGCACCCCATTCCGGGTGACAAGGGTGCCATCAATTCGTTTTCGGTTCTTTCAGAACAGAACGCGCACGTTATTCTCAAATTACTTGAGGGCGACTCATCGATCCAAGACAATTCGTGGGATGATCAACTACTTCACAAGATCCGTATACTATACACTTCATGTATGGACGAGGCGCGGCTTGATTATCTTGGCCAGGAGCCATTACAGAAGTTCGTCAACACGATTCGGCAGCTTTACAGGGGCAAGACTACCCAAGCATATACCATGAATCCGAGACAGGGCCTATCCAACGCCCTAGGTTATCTGCACTCTCGGGGTAAGAGTCGTTTGTTTGGCTTTATGTTGCCTGTTCGCTCATGCCATGACTTAGGTGTCGACGCACTCTTTGAATTTAGCATTGAAGGCGACTCTGGTGCTGACCCGAACAATATGATTCTGTGGTTCAGTCAACCCAGCCTAGGACTCCCCTCCAAGGTCAGCTCCCAAAATCTCAGAATTTTCAATACGTTTAACAAGTATTAGGAGTATTACAAGGACAAGAGTATTCTCACCGTATATCAGGACGTCATCGAACGCCTCCTATCATCCTTGAGAGATGACCGAGTTCTGAGTCAAGAGAACCCAGGAACAATCCTCCAGACAGGAGAACTCGAAGACAGCGAGCATGTCTGGCCCCCCTGGCCATGGCCACCTTGGGATGGAGACGGCGATGACGATGATAATGATGATGGTCGGGGACGTAGTCCTGGAGATCCTTTCCAGAATGCCCGCGAGCTTGCGCAGAAAGTTGTCAAGTTCGAAACTGAAATTGCGGACGCAACACTTGACCTGTAAGCTGATTCACGTCCCATTATTGGCAGACTCTCACTGGTTACATGGCTATTAGTGACAAGCTGCAGCAAGATCCATTCGGAACGTACAACCCGATCACCATCAACACTCTAAAGGCCGAGCTCTCACAGATCAACTTCCCAGACTATTTTGCCACGTTCACGCCTCGTGCCTTCCCAAGCCGTGTTATCATCACGTACAAACCTTACCCGAATTCCCTGTCGGAAATCTTGAAGAAGACGCCAGCAGATGTCATCGAGGCATATCTTGTTGTGCGCGCGTCGTTGGAGTATGCCCCAACCTAGGTCGGACCACTGAGGCTTGGAAGGCTGTGAGAACTCTGCAGGAGACCCTGTATGGCCTCAAGCCTGGCGTAGTTGGTGAACGCTCCCAGTTTTGCATGACGAAGGTCGACGCTGCTTTGGGTTTCGGTACTGGAAGATACTTTGTGAACCAGACATTCCCTGGCGAATCAAGGGAGAAAGCGACCCAGGTCATTGATAGTGAGTAAAGAAGAAACTTTTGGCTTCGGAATACTACTGACTTTTCACTGGCCAGACATCATCGATGCCTTTGAGAGATCCCTACACCGCATCGAATGGATGGATGAAGAGTCCGCACGTAAAGCTGCCGAGAAAGCCGAAGCTCTTCGCGTTAAGGTTGGCTTCCCTCTATCCCCAGACACACGTGATCCACGTTCCCTTGTCTCCTACTACACCCTCGTGAAAGTACATGTGGATACCTTCTTTGAAAACATGCTTAGTGCTGCGTATGTAACACCAACACTCGCTCAAATCAAGTACTGACCACATGTTATACAGCTCCTCCGATATGTACAAGATGTGGCAGAAAATCGGCAAGCAGAGAAATCCTGATGAGTGGGAGATGACACCAGCAACGGTAAATGCTTACTATAACCCTCCTGCCAATGAAGTAAGTGAATTCGTACGGTCAAGGTACTGGACTGACAAAGAACAAGATTGTTTTCCCAGCTGGTATCTTACAACCCCCTTTCTTCTCTGAGAGCTGGTATGAGAATATGTCACCATTTCCCAGCCCCTTCTCATCCACGCTCCTATGTACAGGCCTGGATACCTCTCCTACGGCTCCTTTGGAATGGTAGCTGCTCATGAATTGACTGTAAGTTCGCCACATCACACTTTCCATAAGCACTGGCTTAAGTATCATTAGCACGCATTTGACTCCTCAGGTCGTCTTTACAACCAACAAGGAAAACTCGAAGAGTGGTGGTCACGTCAGACCAGCGACGCGTACCAGATTCGCCAGGACTGCATCGTGGAGCAATACTCCTCGTATACAGTAGAGGATGGCAAAGGAGGGATCATTCACGTCAATGTATGTCACATTGTGCTTCCTGTGTATAATCATTGACCAGTTGATCCATAGGGAAATCTGTACGTCCATGGTTATGAGGTTTAAGCTTGTTCATGTTACTAATTGATGGCTTTCAAGTACCTCCGGCGAAAACATCGGAGACACAGGTCTGATTCAGGCGTATCGGGCTTGGAAAGCGCAATACGAAGAGTCGTACGATGCCGGAAAAGAATATCTGCTTCCCGGCCTTGGGTACACTCGGTTCGCGACACTCGATTTATTAGTGAAATACTCGGGCACTGATGGCAGGTTTCAGGGAGCAGCTATTCTTCATCTCGTTCGCCCGTACATGGGCGATGAACATCAGTCCTGCTGACGCAGTAAGTGTTCTATTCATCTTAGTACCCATTTCAATATAATCTTGCAACAGGTTCGACGTGTCCGGTCAGATCCTCATTCACCGAACCGTTATCGCACTGAAGGCACTGTCTATAATATTCCGGAGTTCGCAGAAGCCTTCAAATGCTCAAAGTACGCCAAGGCAAGTGCAAGTACATGAGACACAGACTCCTGCTAACACAATATTTGACAGCTTAATCCACCAAAGGAGAAGAGATGTATCTTTTGGTCTTGATCTGCCGGTTTTTGATACTTTGTTTCTATGACATTTGCTTCCTTTGGTTAATATGTGGTCCGAACACTGCAGTCTGTACACTATCTAATGCGAGCATTTCTTTATCCTTTTATATCCGCTGTGCATCAAGATCGCAGGGTTCGAGCTGATGCTAAATTTATCGTGTCACAGAACCCCTTTAGTACTCGGAATATCGTCGCCACCAGTGCGTTCGATAGCTTGTCTGATTGCAAGGGCAAGTGCCTTGAATGCAGATTCGGATCTGTAACTGTTGACTGAGTTCTGTCACTGGATTAACAGACACTGGGTAAACACACCTGTGGTGATCATTTTCGCCCCGTAGGACGTCGACATGAAGAGTCGCACCAGAAGCTATGGCAAAAGAATAGAATATATGAGGGATCATTTCCGTCGACAGGTCTCCTATTTTCTCCCTCTTTAAGCCTAAATCAGTGACACAGTACGGTCTAGAGCAGATATCAATAACGGCTCGAGAGAGAGCCTGGAAAGTGTCAAATGGACATGTGCATCACTGCTTCTCGGTCACTCACCTCATCTAAGGGTGCAAATCCAGTTCCGTATCGACGAATCCCGCGGACTTCACCAAGAGCTTGCTTGAAAGCCGTTCCGAGGGCTATCGCACTATCCTGTGGATACCGCGGATGTATTGGTCAGCGATTCATGAGCACATGTGCTACAATACTCATCTGCTGTGTGATGGTCATCAATCCACAAATCGCCTTTACATTTCATAGTGAGAGACATCCCACCATGCTTTGCTAAGGCATGGTACATCTGGTAAACTCAATCAGCCGGAGTTTGGTGTCACAAAAATATCATTCATACGTGATCCAGAAAACCAATTCCTGTTGAAATCTCAATTACCTGAGCATTTTGAGATCCAGGAGTACAGTCGAGGTTGATAGATACTTCTATCTGTGTCTCGTTAGTCTTTCTTGAGATCGTAGCTGTTCGTGCTGCCATGTTGATGTCGATCAACTAAGAGTCACGGCAATTGGTCACCCAATTAGGAATTGGGGGCTTTGGACAACAAGAACAAACAACCGTCTAAAAGATCTTGAACAACAACAACAAACATCTACTTATGGCTTCTCCGCTTCTTCGCTCAAGGTCAGCACTACGAGCTGTCCCTGGGCCACAGACCCGTCAACGATCATTATGTGCCAACCGTCCTAGGACTAGGACCCTTTTTAATTTTTTCCGCAGGTCCGTCCAAGTCAGCACAAGAAGAACCTGTTCCGTTACTGACCGAGGACAACTTATTGCATCCGTTCTCGAAATCTCCATTTCCTGCAATACGCGCTCGCGGAGAAGCTATACAGTCACTGGCCAAATGTCCAGTGTGCACTTCAGGTCATTGCAGCACTCATGTACATACAAAATCGCAGTCCCCCGCAGTAAAATTTGAATGCCCCGACTGTGGTTTCCCGACTCATTGCTCACAGGAGCATTGGATAGCTGATCAAGAGCACAAAAAATACTGCTCTAGACTTCGAGAGGTTAACGAGGATGACCATGATCTTCGAAGTGGTCGAAAGTTTCGTGAATTTGAGATGCCCGGTGCGTCATCTGGTCTTCCACAGTCGGACGTACCAATTAATTCACTCACTAGGACCACAGGCTTACTGAGGAGGCTATATCATTCGCGAATTGGGACGTCTTTTGGTATACACGCGGATTCCCCTCCATGGACACGGAACGTTCAAGAAGACATGCCAGCAAAATTCTTACCTATCCACTCACTATTGGTTCTATTCTTCATCAAAATAGTGGACTGACTTTAAGCAACCAAAGAGTTACACCTGAAGGAAGTCGCTCACTAGCAGGTAAGTATCTACTATATATTTCCAGACTTCGCCCTCAAAATTCACATTTAGCACTGCGCTACCACACTGCATGTCCCTCCTGGAGCACCTGATACAGAGGAGGCTGGTGCCTCAAAACCTCAGATGCGCATATTCATCCTCGGCGCTCGCGCTGAGTCCTCTTTGCCGCCACATGCTTGGGAGCAACTTTGCATGTTGTTCCCATCCTGTCATTTCCACCTTTTCTTTATTGGACCACAAGTCTCGTTGCCGAGACCGGCTAATTCTCCCCCTCCGAAGCCTGCAAATGAATCCGCAAGCGAAAGAGGATACTATCACCAACCAATCTGCGGCAGAAAATGTATCCACGACGCACACGTCCACCGACACTTCCAGGCAGCTGGAGGAGGATAAACCTGTTTATGTGCCGAACGTCTATGAGCCTCCAACACCAGCACCTATTGCGCGCCTTAAAGCGCACGCGATCATCAGTCGAACTCTACGGCATTCCGTCTTACACCGTCCCTTATACCCCTCAGCTCACCATTACTGGTCTTCAAGCGAACTATGCTGAAGTTCACGCACAGTTTCAGGATACCTTTGATCCCTACACGGACGCCTTCTTCTTGTTCTCCCCTGGTTTTGGTTTCCCGTCCCCTAACTCTGTATCCGAATTAGATGGCAAGCCCTACCTGCAAATTGCTTCCCCAACAGAATGGGGCCCCGTCGTACCAGCCTTACTCGCAACCCGTTGTGCCATCTACGTAACAGGTTTTTCCCCTGCAGACGTCGAGAGAGATATTCGTTCCATCGAGACTGCACCAGATGTTGCTGGTGAGTTCGAGTGGGTGATTACTCCGGGCGAGAATGCATTTGGGAGCGAAAAATGGGAGGTCGCAGACTTTGACCCCAGAGTCATGGTGAAGACGAACTGGGGTGTTTGGGGCATCAGGGGCAAGGGCCGAGAAGTGAGGGAGCGTAGCTCTTTCAGCTTATTCTAGAGTGTACTGTCTGACAATGTGATCAATCGTCCCGGGCCACAACTCATTAATACATTCATGAAGGCGAGGTATATCACATTTTATTGCGTGGAGAGACTAGACGTACGTACGTTCGAAAGAGCCGCAAGCTGACCCTGAACCCCCATTGCAGTTGAATATCTTTTGAAGACGGGATGCGCCTATCTCCAGGACCGGTATCACCGAAGGTCCAAAAGATGAGTATAGACCGACGAGGAAGGAGTTACATATAGCTGATCACACGGGGAAATTGATGTCGTCTGCTCGACGGTTGAAAAAAAACTTGCAAACTCCAATAAGAAAGTTCGTTACACCATGGCCTGCTCCAACTCGGAGTTGATTTGGTTCCGAGAGCCGACATGAAGTGTCAAGATTCATAATTCAATATACATATTATAGTCCAGTACCAAAAGCCCCCCAACACCATCGCTTAGATCTAAAGAATAAGAAATCAATCATTCAGTAGTCTTCCCATCCAGATCGATCGAAGGATCTCTCTTCTAGCGGGTGAACGCGGTCACGTGCATGCTGGATAGTAACGCACAAGCAGCCATGCAGTGGTCCAGTGAGCATGACATCGAGAGCCTTGAACGCAAGTGGTGCCTGGCAAAGAGTTGGGAACTACCTCCATGCAGCAAGCAGGGGTATTTAACACGAACGACCAGTACAGCGACAGAGGTTGTTAATTCGAACTATTTCATTATGTCACTTCGTCAGGTTTCTAAGGTCCCGCCATTTATTTGATATGTTCTTGCGAGATACAAGACTGAGGCTGGATTGTGTAAGGTATTGCAAAGTGGCCGAGTGAGTGGTAAGCGACAGTAATGAAAGTCAAGCTCCGGGATCAGACCGGTTCAGACACTTACTTAAGTACCGCTGATCACCCGACTGACATTTCACTCATCAGGTCGCACTGGTGGTACTGCCGCCGAGTCCTCTTATTCGGAACCGGTTTTGACTCTGAGTTGGAACAAGTTCATGGGCCTATATAAATGCCTCTTCTGAGTCTCAGTAGGACATCCATCCAGTGCTCTATCGTTGGACGTTTATTATTTGGCACATAGTTTCTGTACAAACTACATCAATTCGAGTAAGCCCCACTAATCTGCTATGAGTTTCTTGATTTAACTCACCCAACTTAATGATATAGTCAACATGTCTTCAATTCAAAGCGGCGTCCCGGACATAAACTGTCTCGAGCCCAATAATCCTGCTTCAAATACGGTCAACCCAATGTGTCAGCTCTCGTTGTATTGTCGCTTAAGCAGCTTAGACCGGACTTGAAGTAAGGGTCTCTCCTGAACCCGGTGATGTCTTCCAGCAGGTTTTCGCACTGTCCATGGCCTCGAACGCTCTCTATACCTTGAAAGGAGAGCAGGACGCCCTCCTAAACTGCCTGCAGACCAAGCTACCCGGTATCATCTCAGCTATCGGTGGCCAGTGGAAAGTAGTATGGGGCCCGGTGATATGGAAAGCTCGGCCAGACGACGCAGATACCGGGCCTGACAACACATGATTTATCGCACATAGCCCTAGCGTCACCTTCGATGACAGCGGCACACGCGAGGCATACGTAGTAGCTGTCGCTGGGACAAATGCCAGCTCGATTTATGGCTGGTATGAAAACCTCGCAGTAGGCAGGGTAGTGGACTTTTCCGCATGGGTGGGAGGCGGAATCACTCAACTTCCGGTACCAGTGAACAGGGGGAACATTGTTCCGACCGGGGCATACGTAGCATATGGGACAGCCGCTGCTGTACATACCTTGCTTACTGAGCCTTCCCCTCCAGGATCAGTATCTGCGGGTCTCAAACTGCATGAATACCTGACTAATATACTCGCGCCGGAGTCGACGACAGTGGTGTTCACGGGACACAGTCTCGGTGGAACCTTGTCTCCTACGTTAGCGCTTGCGCTTGCCGGATCGGATGCCCTGAAAGGCGAGGGGCTCGTGTATACCACCGGGGGGGGCAACCCCCGGAAATAGGGGCTTTTCGAATCTCTTTGCACAAACTTTCCCGACGTCCACGAGCACATGCCCTGAGACTGGGTATGCGGTCTGGAACAAAAATATCATCAACGCTTGCGACATCATACCACAGGCGTGGTGCACGAAGCGAATACTCTCACCTGCGCAGAACGTGAAAAACATACCGTCCATATACGGTGTTCCAGCTATACCATTCATCGAATTCGTCGTGTTTTGGCTCATAGCCAATGTCAACAAATCACACATCGTGTACGCTCCACTCCCGAGCTGCATCCTGCCGGGCGGCAAGCCTGAAGTGACCCCTGGAAACGTGGCTGAGTTTCTGGGTGTCGCATTGGGGAATCACAATACATTTTATAACGATGTGTTTGGCGTGAAGTTGCCAGATTTGGAGTGCGAGGAGCTCACAAAGAAGACGGAGGAGGAGATATCGAGTGGGGAAAGGAACACCCTGCTGAAGTGGAGGCTGCAGTGGCTGCGCTGCAGGCAAGCGGCGTACTCGACGACGATGAGGAGTGAAGAGTTCAAATATTCGAATGGGCCTTGGAGCGAACACACGGTACGCAGTCTGTATGTACGATACGTTTTGTTGAGGGCAATGATGAAACTGAATGATGGGATGCTGCTTACGACAACTACAAGGCTCGTTTAAGACGTCCACAGTAGACTCATGCGACAACTTTGGAGCGCTGTAAAAGCCTTCCAATCGTGCTTTCGTGAATGCAGAACTAGTTTATAGGATTAAGATCACATCCATGCCAGGAGCAGTGGATGAGGCATTTCACAACTCGATCAAAACCTCACGCAGCAGCGTAGGTCAAAGCCCCAGTAGTGAGTTATTGGCGTCCTAGCGGTCGGCAGAGTCAAGGGCATTCAGAATACAAACATCCGGCTAGTGTTCGGGGTTTAGCGAGCTGACAGTAGTCAGAGTCAGAGAGGCCATCCGCTGTGGACGGTGTCAGACTACTACTACTGCTAAGCATTGGAGCTTCGGAGTATTGAGTATTGAGTCGTGGAAAAAATCAGCACAGCTTTGCAATTGTGATGGGATCTTTTCTTGCGTCCGAGAGAAGCTCAGCTTCCGCCTAACAGTTCAGTGGTCAGACTCAGAGTGCTTGACAACTTGTCTATACTAGTGCAGCACACCATCACGACAAGTTCACTGGAATCGGCGCATTTTCTGGGTGCGGCAACTCTGCAGTCCTCTCCGGGTCCGCCAACCTCTGAAGTTGAACGTTGAGCTGCAGCAGCCTGTCTCTACATGCTTGGGATTGCATCTTCCTGTAGCTTCATGAGTAATCTCCGCGTTCAAATTTCGAGCGGCGGCTGCCTTCGCACGGCAGCTTCCAAGTCGCAGCGCTTATTCCGTACTAGTCAGTGAAACTTGATCCCTTCGTGCGCAACAATTAACTGCTTTCTGAATGATGCAAGACTCGCTCGCAACGAGACTGTCGTACTAGTTTCATTGGAAAGTAGTGTTGCCCTCTCCTCAAGTTCTTATTTGTGCTGATGAACCTCGAGGAGGGCCTCATTAAAGCGAGATATTGTGTCCGCAAGTACACTGGCACTATGTACCTCCGGACGCCGCGGCGTTGTGCGGGAGGACAACTTCAATGAATGCGTTTACTTCGAGTCTATATTTTCCTTCTCGATGGTCTCGATTTGTTGCCGTGCATGCAGAAGCTGCTTGAGTTGTGCAGGTAAACACTGTTTTCATGTATTTAGAAATTGCTTCGAGCTGAGCATTTTGGGAAGCAGTAGATGATGAGTCCCAGAGAAGAGGCGCAAGGGGCGAACCGGCCATTTACACACAACATTTGCAGCGAGACGAGGCAGCGCAGTCTCGATACCCAGACTTGGACGCGTGATCAACAAATGCGACTCAGACACCTCACAGAAGCCGCTACCGACACGTATATAATACGAACTCGGAAAGATCAAGAGTGTCTCCTGATTCAGCCATGCAACATTCTGCGCAGCAAGGAAGCGAACTTGTGGGAACTCAATGTGATGCAAGGAATTTGTGCGTGTCAATTGAGATGCTTGAATATCACCGCAAGTTTTTAATACCACTTGTGCCTGATAGCATTTGCCACCTAACCTGCTCTCGCAAGGTCTTCCCCGTGATTGCGAGGGACAAGACTGCAGCATATGAGGTCACACTACTTCCTTTGTGGCGCTGTTCAATGAACGCTCAATCTAGCTGTAAATGATTCGTTGAACTGGAGAAAGTGACCCAGAAATTGCGGATGCATTCAGAACATTTAGACTTACTGCTTAGAGTGCCTTTCTAAAATCTGGATGGAGCAGAGGTGAAACATTTTATTGGCCAAGTCCGTCCTGCGAGTTGCGGTATCTCAGACATCTCGAAGGAACTCGGTTTAGAGGCAGTGTACCCATTTGGGCCCGACGGATGCGGATCATGAACGAGTTTCCGACGTTCTCGAGGCTCTTGTAGGTGCGTATATTCTCCCATCGGATGCATTGCATACTCATTCACGACTATATCAAGTATACGTATCTTACTTTGTAGTGATTTATGCGACCTGTCATACATTATCATGACGAGCTCAGGCAACGCGGCAAGAACCTCCCATTTCTATCCTCGAGCAGCACGGATGGTCTCACTCAAGGCAAGTCGAGCCATCGAGAATCGCGCCTGCAGGTTACAAATAGATGCAATAGGTGCCTTCCTTCTCATCCTCGAACACTCAAATAGCGAAGTCGTGAAGAGACTGGTACCTCCAGCACATCTCTCTAGAATGTTTAACTTCACCTTCAGAATATCTTGTGTGGCTGTGGCACTGGGGAGTGGGTCATTCGCTGCCACCAAACGTGGGCTGGCATTTGCTGATTCCGACAATACTGGCGATATTGCTGTCGCTGATGACACCCAGGTCTCTTGGGTATATGATTGGGGCAGTACTGCACCAAGCTATCTGAAAAACACAGATATGACCTACATCCCCATGCAATGGGGTGAAGACGATGTCGATAATTTTATGGCTGAAGTGCTGGCTCAAAATGCGAAGACCATCTTAGTAGGTTGATCTAGTTGAGAGAAGGCATCTCACTCACCTGATTTTCTGCCGGTAACCTAGGGTTTCAACGAACCTGACCTTAGTTCACAGTCGAATATTGCACCTATGACTGCCGCGTCATTATGGATGCAGTACATCCAACCTCTGAGGGCACATGACGTCCGACTCGGTAGCCCCGCTGTGTCCAACGCTCTATCAGGAATTCCTTGGTTATCTCAATTCTTTGGAAACTGCACTAAATGCACGTTCGATTTCATACCTATTCACTGGTACGGTGATGGCCTCGACAATTTCAAAGATTATGTCGAGTCGTTCCATGGCAAATTCTCATCGCCAATGTGGGTCACGGAGTTTGCATCTACTTCTTCGAATGTTAAAGGTGAGTATCTGTCATCTCCGATGCATCGGCATTTCCTGTAGCTCTCTGCACCTTCTATTGATGGCACTCACACCCACTTCTTACGTTTGTAGAGGTGGAAGACTTCTGCACTGATGCAATAGCTTATCTTGATGGCCAGGATTGGATTGAAGGGTATGCCTGGTTTGCACTCTACGTAAGTATCTTCGGGCACGCCTTCCGCAGACATGAGCTGATGGTACTATGATTATGGCAGCGCCAGGAGTCAGGTTCCTACTACAGTAAGAGGATTCTTTTCAGTGGCTCGTGTCTCAGCATAACCTTTCTATCACCACAGACCTTCTTGATATCAATGGCTGGCCTAACACACTGGGGGATATTTACCTTCATGGCACCAATTAAAGGTTCACAGATTTAATGTACATACGAAAGAAATAGAATTCAAGCAGTACTACGTACGACATACTTCCAATAAGACGGTCATAACATACATGACATTTGAAACTGTCTGACATCATGAGGGAACACGGTCAAGCATCCTGATACCGCGGCATCAGATAAGCTGCATTAATGGAACGAAGTGTCCTTCTATTGGGCCTGCCTACTACTCTGATAAAGCTGCCACGATTCGGATTGTGACGGTCCGAATGCCTGTGATTCTTGAGTGGCGGGATTGTGCTTTGTCGGTCAAACTTCTTTCGACACTCCTGCAGAGCCGCATGCATGGCGTTAGACTATGCATTTGGTTATTTGCATAGCGAACGCGATACCAACGGCCGGTGTACGAGATGACTTGAATGAGGGCCAGTACTGTCAAACCTGCCTCAGCTGCACGCCCGGTAATCCGGGTTCATTTACGTCACCGGTTGCACCGTTGCAGGTGAAATCCAACGTACCCGCAAGGTGAAACTGAATCTGCTAAAAGTCACAAGCGTTCGACGAATATCTACGGATTTGTCTTGTTGCCAGTTTGTGTCTTGCTCTCTTACCGTCACAACCTGAATTTCCATCTCCTGGTCCAGAATGACAATAACGACCATACCTTTTCCAGACAAGTGCAACTACAATATCCAGTCTATCGCTGTTCCTGGCACCAAATGCCCTGGTCAAACCGGTGCGTCCCACATATTCGTCCGCAGACGTTTCACTGAATTCGAAGTATTTTCAAAGCCCACTATCGGAATGGTGAGTCCTATCTAGTACAAGATCAAGCACCACATATTTTATAATCGCTCATTTTGTTTCATGACACTTCAGCATTCTATGGTCTTGTGGACGTCAACGTCCTGCCAACACTTCCTGACGTTTTTGACAACGGTTACAATATCAATCCGGACTGTAGACTCCTCGGTCACCGTCCGTTAGTATCAACCAATCCGCTCAAATTCGGCCCTTATGTGTGGCAGACGTACAAGCAGGTGGATGGTCGCAGGCGTCGCATCGGCAGTGCTCTGCACAGGTTATTCTCACAAGGTGAACTGCAGGGTGAGGACCTCGAAACCGTTGGTATATGGTCACAGAATAGACCAGGTATATGTGTCATTTCTCACTCCGGGATCAGTTCTCATCGGTCACCACAGAATGGCAACTCGTTGAACTCGCTCTACATGCTTACAACAAAGTCGGGGTTGGTCTTTACGATACCCTTGGCAAGGATTCTGTAGGCAAGTGGGCTGTCTTGAGCCATTTCCTATTGTGCTGATAACTTCGCCACAGAATATATGTATGTGATATTGTCGCTATTTCGTTAAACCCCTCAACATTCGTGGTTGTCTAGTATCAATCATGCGCATCTTAGTATCATCTTCACTACGGTCGACCACATACCTGCGCTACTGAAACTAGCTCCCAAGGTTGCAGCCATGAAAATGATCGTGTCCTTCGACAGTTTGAGTCCAGATGCCCGCAAAGCCTTAGTGGCTTGGGGAGAGACTGTTGGTGTGCAGGTCAAAGAATTTTCGGAATGTGAGTATCTCAGCCTGATTTTACCGTACCTGCTATTTACATGCGCCGTAGTTGAAAAGTATGGTGAAGAGCACCTGATATCGCCATTACCCGTTTCACCCGATACAGTTGCATCACTATGCTATACTTCAGTACGTGGCTTTTGTATTCCATTTTAAGTATCACCAACTAGGGATTTTCAGGGCACTACAAGCCAACCCAAAGGTGTGGGGTACTCATTCTCTGTCCTTCTGACACTTAAATTCTTGCTCGTAAGGCGTGGTACTTACTCATGGGAACCTTGCATCGTCCGCATATTCCAACATGTTTGGTATGGACTATCCCCCAAATGGCAGCGTTCTCTCTTACTTGCCGTTGGCTCACATTTATGAGGTTCGTTTGGTCTTGCTCACCTCGTCTTCTATACTGACCCCCTTGCAGCGTGTGGTCGAACTCACAACCTTGGCAATTGGTGGATGTATCGGGTTTTCCACTGGCGATAACTTGCGTCTCCTTGAAGATGCGCAGATGCTAAAGCCTCACTTCTTTCCAGCTGTACCTCGTGTATTAAATCGAGTCTATCAGTCTGCTATGGCTGCTGGCAATGTCCCTGGACTGAAGGGCGCTCTCTTCCGGGCAGCTGTGCGGGCAAAACTCGACCAGTATCATGCCACAGGTGTCAGTACCCATCCATTCTGGGATGCCCTTGTCTTCCGGAAGGTATGTTCTCATTGACTTTCTTGCATTCCTAGTTACAACTCGATATTTCATTCGAAGGTTCGTGCGGTCCTTGGCGGAAACCTGCTGCTTGTTAGCACAGGCTCTGCACCTATCAGTGCCGAGGTCATCGATTTCCTGAAGATCGCACTCTTCTGCGAAATTACAGAAGGTATGGTCGGTCATCTTTGATTGTAAATTGTCATCTGACGGACGGCTCAGGCTACGGAATGACTGAGAACTGTGGTGTCTGTACACATACATTCAAGGCGGACCCTGATTGTGGGGGAACCATTGGTCCTCCTCAGCCCGTGAACGAATTGAAGTTGGTTGACGTGTCTTCCATGAACTACACAGTCGAGGACAAGCCCAATCCTCGAGGTGAACTCTGTGTTCGTGGTCCCAATTGTTTCACGAGGTATTATAAGGGTGAGGTCGTGTACGCACAAGTGCATTGATTGTAAGCGCTCAACATCATGTCAGACGAGAAAAATACTCGGGAGACCTTGAAAGACGGTTGGATCCACACCGGCGATGTTGCCGAGGTCGACCCGCAAGGCCGATTCAAGATTGTTGACCGCGTCAAAGTAAGTTTCCTCTCATATCACCATCGCCCCGACTTCATTTTGTATTACATAGAATATCATGAAACTTTCACAAGGCGAATACGTTGCTCTCGAGAAAGTTGAGAACATGTATGTTGCATGTCCACTCGTGCAGCAGATCTTTGTCCATGGCGATTCTATGCAATCGTACCTACTGGCTGTGCTCGTCCCGGACCCAGTGGCTCTGGCTCCATTAGTGTCCACGGTTCTCGGCGAGAAAATAACGTCTGATGACATCCCAGCACTGGAGAAAGCTATCAAGGACCCCCGAGTGGTAGCTCAGGTCCTCACCGTTCTCAATAAAGAGGCGAAGAAGAATCGTTTGGCTGGGTAAGAAGACTTGGATCTCTGAATAGGGCACGCTGACTAGCTTCAATAGATTTGAGACGATCAAGCGTCTCCACATTAGCTTGGATCCGTTTTCCATCGAGGATAATACCTTGACTCCGACCTTCAAGGTCCGCCGTAAGGATGCATTTGCGAAATATGCAACACAGTTGCAGGCACTATACGCTCTTGGAGAGCCAAACGGCGACTCCAGTAAGCTATAGGTCAAGTGCCTAAGCACCTCCAACCATCTACGTAGTATTTACTTGTCGATATACAATTATGCTTTTGTGTATTTGATAACGCAATCAGGAAGACTCGAACATATTCAGGTTGTGTCTGATGGCATAGAAAGTGTCCCTATAAGAAAAGAGGTAAAACAATGTGGTCTCGTGATATGATGCCTTGGGAATATACAATGCAATTGCCCATCGCCTATTGCGGTAGGTCTTCTATTGGAAATAGACCGTTCAACCGATCGACTTCACACTGTTCTGCTCGACCTTGCGTGACGTCGTCAAGCCCAGGAACGAGACCGTCACCATAATGACAAGCCACAGTTGTCCGCACAATAAGTTGTATTCTGTGGAGATTGAAAATAGAGCGCTAGAAGAACATGAGAGCAATCCTGCGTGTGAAGGAGGACAGATATACCTGACCACAAAGGGAGAAAATGATCGCGCGAAACACATTGCAAATTGAACTATGCCATTAGACTGCCCCAGCGATGCGGCATTCGGAGCGTTCTCCTTGATAAGAATCATGCTGACGCTAAATAGTATGTGTCAATCACTACAGCCAGCCAAAAATGGACGAACGCGTACGTATAAGCAAGAGAAGCGATCTTGGTCAACATAAGGACGAAAGCGATACCAACCCATAGCAAAGCAACAGTAGCCGTTCCAAGTTCGCCGGTGGTCTCATCCAAACCAGCACGAGCGATAAGGTTTAGAAGAGGCAAGACGAGGAAGGTATAAGGCCATATGCCCATGCAGAAGCTATACATTTTCGCAGAGTCGAACGTTCGAAGGAGGTAGGACATGATACAAAGTTGGATAGTAGCACCAATAGCACCCGCAATGGCAAGAGAGTATCCAATTTGTGATGCCTATTTAGTTGTCAGTTGATCGCACTTGTCCAAAGCAGGAGGAGCTCACTGAAAATGCGAGACCGCCGGATTCAATTGGCGAGTAGCAGAACAAGACAAATACAACGTCGAAGGATGTGCCGATATAGCTCAGCATGAAGCCAGATAGTGCCAAAGCGGATATGACTGGTATCGAACATAATTTTGAAACACTGAGAGGCTTCTCAGGAAGAGCCGGTGCGATTATGGCACGATTGCCATTGGTGTTTGAATTAGGGGAACAGCTTTTCTTGCCGTTGCGCTTGCTGGGCAGAGTCTAAGATGGGCATGAGGTTCTCCATATAACACACGACTTTTGAGCTGCAGATTGGAACGTACCTCTTCAAGGAAAATGAATCCAAGGAAGATACCAATAATAGCGATCATGGACGCAATAAAGCATGGCAAGAAATAGGGATAATCCTTGAGGAACTGGTACCCTAACATTTCTGGATATTTTGAGGCTGGGTGAGAGAACGTCCCGCCAATAAGTGGTCTATGAATGTACGCATGATCAACGTCGATATCCTGATTAGGTGCAAATAAGGAGCGCACCCAATGATTGAACCAAGAGGCCAGGTGAGGCCGTATATGGGCAAAGCAACCATCTGGTTTGTGGAGTCGGTAATTTCTCCCAGAACCGAATGAATGACAGCGACGTTTCCCGAAAATAAACCCCCTACAGAATTAGAAATTAGTCCAGGGGCAGAGAGGTATGGTCCGTATGGAATGTTCCCTACCTAAGCAACGTGCCACTAAGACACTCGCCAGGGATTTAGACAAACCAAACATCAGCGTGGTGATGGCGAGCCCGATTATGCCGAAAAATATCACAGGACGTCGTCCAATAGCATCTACAGCGAGGTATGAGGAAAGGCAGACCGAATGCAGCGGTAAAAGTACCTGATATCTTGGCCCATTGGTAGATGGAACACAGTTGAGACATAGCAAAAACACTCTCCTAGTGGTTAAAGGTCAGTGAGAAGAGTGATCAGATCATAAGATCAAACTAGATGACGTACAACCAACCCGCTGTAGAAGCCTATTTTTGATGGGTCATCTGTGAGATGGAGATCGCTCATAAACTCGTTGACATATGGAAAGAGCTGGGTGAACGCTATGGGTTCCACTAGACGAACTATGCAGAGTGCAGCGAGTTGGCCCTTTGGTAGAGGAGTAGACTTGGGTTTCTCAGCAATTTGAGCTTCAGCGTTGTGAGCATTGGAGGTATGGAGGAGTGGACATGTCTCATCGTAATTGGCCGTGTCGCTGGCGGGAGTCATAGTTGAAGACGATGACAAAGGCAAAGGCAAGGGAATTCAAACCAAGGAAGATAGTATTTATGCGCAGATATTCAGCAGATTAATGCCGACAGCTGACGAAATCTCACTTGACACTTTTCCATAAAACATAATATTTACGTGTCTTGCCCATATGTTGCCCTCTTAAATCCTCCAATGGCAGAAGCAACGGATTGAAAGCAACATCTATAGGATGAATTGGTTCAAAAACGTAGTCCGCATAAAAACCTCATACTTGTCATTGGATATGTCATGTCTCCCTAGCTCCAGAGGAGAGGGTTGTCGATGATATAATTATGGACACAGGCCCGACATCCTGAGTTACACCTTTAGGTTAGGCACATGATCGTATTTTTGGCACTGCACCTCGAAACTCCTGGGCCCAGATCCATGTCGTGTATATCTACGAAATTGGTATACGAGAAAGCTAAACGTCGGCTAATGCCGGTGGCTGAGACAATAACATGCACAAACAGGGAGCTCGTTGTGATAGATGTTCTTCTCAATTGTTTCTTGCGTTGCAGTCACTTTCGTCATCCACTACATTCATCTGCTCTGCTTTATATCTACTCTTACTTGCTTTTAACTTGTTCACACCAGTCTCTTATCAACTATGAATTTTAATGTCAACGATAATCCTCTTCTCGTCGCTCCTCGACCCGTTCGCATCACCTCCCACTTTGCTCGTACTACACATCTCAAACTTGTCGCTCCTCAAGTTGATCATGTAATGCTATCCGAAGACACTGAACATGTTGACGAGTACAAGCAGCCTACCCGTGTTGACTCCTCGGTTTCGTCCGATAAGGATCTCTCCTCTCCTCGAGCATCACCTCGGTAGGTATCTATTTTACATTTAATTCCCGCCGTGTGTGTCTGCTGAGCACAAAATTCTCCGCCTTGGCTTGCCACACTATCCCATTTAATCATATTTTTTACATCTCATTAATTCCCCTGATCACAGGTCTAGCCTTCCATCAGAAGCGCTTGAGGAGTTCCTGTCAATCTGCATGGGGTGGAAATGCCCATCATCTCCTGTATTACGACCACGTCGCAACGGTGCCGTATCGCTGCCTACATTTGGCCTCCCTTACAGGTCTAGGAGCAGAGTGGATTTTATTCACGCCAAGGGTGACTTGTCCAGCATTACACTCACTGAGGAGAATGAATGGGTCCCTCGCTCACGCTCTCCTCAAACCCTTTATGAGCGAGACGAGCTTGAGAATCTTGACGTTCAAGACCTTGATACCCAAAGGTGGAACATCACCCACACTCTTTGTGAGCGCTAATGATTATTCTCCTAAAATCCGCTTAATAGTATTCTTTGAGCAGCATCTCCGATATCTCGTGCGCGCAATCCATTTTTACGCCACCCATCTTATGACACTGCGCTCTCTGGCATTTCGAATTTTTCCCAATCATCCCCTCCGATCACTTCGGCAACGCCCATGTCTCCTGCGGCCGTTCCTCTTCCTGTCCCAACCCCTGATGAGTTAATTAAGGTTTACTGAACCTCCGGTCTTTATCGCAGTAGTCCTTGTCTCGTCGTCCTGTCGCTACTACCTTATATCTGGTATGTCCTTCAATACTGTGAGCTAGGTTTCTCGTCTTGCGAGCTGGTACTCAGCTTTAGACCAGTTCTCAGATTACATTAAAGATACCACCTTTGATTTGTCGGTCTGCTCCTTCATCGCACTAGTATTCTATTTTGTTTTACTACATACTTATATTCCACGTTGGTGTTCCCCCTCTAGTCTCTTCGCTTTGCATACGTTCATTTACTATGTTCCTTACACGTCAGAAGGACCACTTCCAAGTTTGTCTCCCCTTACTTCTCGCATGTTACCCGGTGCTGCGCCATTGCCTTCTAGGAAGGAACTCTCACGCATTGTATACTATTCGAATTCCCGTTGATTTCTGTATATCGGATTGATAGCCTCCATATTATGATGCTAGAAATATGAAACAAATGACCACTTTATGCTTATTGTAACGTGTGTGGTGAAATATCGTCCTATAAATTGAATAATATGCTTGGTTTTGAAAGTCCAACATTACATTGTGATTACTTTGCCTGTGGAAAGTTGTATTATGAAAGTTATCTGCTAAGGCACAGTAGGATTTTTCCGAGTGGAGTTTAGTGGTCGGTGCAAGTCGGTGAACTGTGGGACTCAGCCTAGCGTAGTCTGGAATAGTATCATGTGAGAAGATTGTTGTCCTGCTTCCATTTTGATTCCACTTTCAAATGAAACGCTTCTAAACTGTACAACTTGAATGAATTTGTTCCAGACTTCATGTCCGACTGAGGCCTTATTTTCCGCTCATTGTCTATCCCATCGTCCAGAAACAGTTAAGATCATCATCTCTGTGGATTTAAGATAGTAGGCTGAATGCACCTCGGTTCCAGAAATTTATATCCGTAAAACCCATCGGAGGAAAAGGTTCAAGGATAAAGTGGGCTAAGTGCTTGTCCCCCAACCCCCTTCGTCAAAAATACAGAATTTCCGTCTCCGTTGATGTAGAAGCAGTCTTCAAGGCGAATACCGACCTGTTCGTAACCATCAACATTGGTCTAATCAAACAGGAGTTTCTGCGGCTCCGCAGCGTCTGTACCTTGCCTTCAATGTATATGCCTGGTTCGTTCGAGAAGGCGTTCCCCGTTCGAATGGTGTCGTCGGTTCCTCCGCGGAGGTATGGAGCTTCGTGATCTTCAAGCCCAATTCCTTCAAACACTCAGTCCCAAAATTACAAGTCTGTGCTTTACTTAATGCTCACCGTGACCCAGTCTATGAGTGAAGTACCCTTTGTACCCACGCCCGTCAAGCCAATCACGCGCTGCCTTGTCTACGGCAGATGTATTCGCCCCCTCCCGAGCCGCTGCGTGCGCCAAGGTTTGGGCAACATGTACATCATACCAGATCGTAGTATGTTCCAGTGGGATGGAGCTATCGTGCAGCACGAATGTCTATGCGGAACCTCAGCCAACCGAATAGTTTTCACGGCAGAACTAAGGATACTTACTCGTGTGACGTCGCTGTTGTATTCAAACAACCGGCCACCAGCATCTATGAGAATGAAGTCCGCTTTGTCCAGTGTGCGGTCGCTCCCGCTTCCATGCGGGAGAGCAGCGTTCTCTACAGCAGACGAGGTTAACAAGTCAGCACATATAATTCGCATGTCAAATTTGAAAAAAAGTCTTACCGCCAAAAAGCACTAAGGCCCATCTTTCCGTGAGACCAGCAGCAGCGAGCGCCTCGTCTATCATCGCTCGAACTTGTGATTCCCGTATCCCGATGTACATCTGGGCTTGCACGGCCCGGATACAAAGAAGCGTGACCTTGACGACTGTGATGAGCTAGCCACGTTCAAATGCGAATACATCCGCTGACCTCGTTCGCACATCTCAGAAGGTCCAGCTCTGCTTGAGATTTGCGCGCCCTGAGTTGGGTGACTTCGGGTGGGGCAGACATGATGCGGACGCCGGGGGCGGCCTTCTGGAGACCGTCGACAATAAAATATCTCATCATGCCGTCAACATAGATGGGCCCTTCAAGTTCAAGGGCGGAAAGCGCGTGCAGCGCGACGGTGTATGGGTCTTCGTCTTCTGCCCAAGAGACATACGAAACTTCAATTCCAGGTACTGACAAACGTCTGGCGCGCGTTTCCTCGAATGCTGGTGTAATGACAGTGACCTTGGCTACAATGTTGGCCTCCTCGAGTATGGGAAATATTATAAGTAACAGTGGTCTCTCCGAAAGATGCCATGTCGCCTCGGAGATGTTACCAAAGTACTGCGCATTTGCGCCAGGCTCTGCAATGTATGCTGATGCGCCATTGTCATACAATATCTTTGCCAAGTTCTCCTGGCGTTGGAGAATTTCTGAACCATTTATGGGTTGCGCATCGGAACAATGGTTTGCTAAGCCTGTCCAGCGGTCGTAGCCAACTGAATAGGATTCGGGGTTGGCATTAGCAAGAAACTGCAAGTAGAAGATGGTTGCACAAATGGCAAGACTGAAGAAAAGCCTCCACTAAGGTAGATTATGTCCGGATGAAAGTCTGGCAATACTCTCAGCAGTGAGCAGCTTACCTCTAATAGGCACCGTGTCACTTTGGATGTAACAAAAGTTTGAGCGATATTCTTCCCAGAAACGGGGGTGTCGACTTGCTCATCTCTCAGTGTTTGCTGGGCAAGACAAAATATAGCGACTGACCATGACTGTCAGGTTTCATAATGATGATTAGCGAAAAGCGCTCCCAATTAGTGAGTACTGGTAGAGTGACCTATACTGGGCGGTGGCAGTGCACAAGTTATCGATGAAATAAGTCTGAGATCTGAGGGACCGAGACACCGTGATAAACCGAGACAACCGAAATTTTTCACAAACGTCACGCTTCAAGAATCCCTACTTTGACACCATGGAGGACACGGAAACTTTGTTAGCATTGGTCTGCAGCTTACTGACCGTTCCACCGCCAGAACTGAATGTTCTTCTCGATGCGCTCTTGTCGCACGATGGAGATGTTTATGCCACTGCCAAACTGCTTAATTCTGGCGATGAGACCAGGTCCAAGCCAGTGAGCAGCGTTTCAAAAAGAAAAGATCGTTCTATGGATCTTCAAAGCTGGTTAAATGCAGGCAATTCAAAAGTCGAAACCACGGTGTCTAACAGTCCTCCTCGAAAGAAACGAGACAGTCAAGGAATCCAGTCTCTCTCCTGTCAAAGCAACCATCAAGGACACTACTGTATGCAGCGGCTCTCCAACCAACCTCAAGGTAGACTTAATGTCGGTTCTACGCCAACCACCCTCGAGTACGCGGTCCGTACCGCGTCTTCTTCCCCTGACGTTGACGAACCCCTCGATGGTGGCCCAGCACACCCCTTGCACGATGCATCTATCTATATTACCACCAGAGCTTGCATGCAAACTATTTTATTCTATGCTCGATCTGTCCCAATCTTGGAAAAGGAACAAATGGTGGCTATTTGATCGTGTCGTTGAGAGCCCTCACCGCACATCGTTTTTTGCTCGAAAGACAGATGGTGTGGAGTCTGATAAGTCGTGGCAGGAGGCCGCGCAATATTGGTGAGATAAGAGAGTGTTGTATCTTTTTGAGACAAATACCTAAACCGACGCACCAAAGGTACAATGGTCGACAAACAGACCCACCTGATGTCTTTCCTGATGTAATGGAAGAAGCTTGCTTATATGTGGAAAATATGGTCAACAGAGAGATGGAGAAGCGACCCCGTCTCCCGCTTGAGTGGGCAGGTAGAGGGTCCGAGGGTCAAATCTGGCGTGCCAATGTAGCCGCATCAAATTGTTACGAGGGCACAAAGGACAGCGTTGGATTTCACTCAGACCACTTAACATATCTAGGACCCTACCCAACCATTGCCTCACTGAGTCTCGGTGAGCACCTTCTAACCCACTGTCCTGTGTAGTCATACCACGCCGTTCACAGGGACGACGAGAATCTTTCGCCTTCGGGAGGTCGTACCAAGTGAAGAGATCCACTCACGGAGGGCACAAACATTTAACATTCCTTTACCCCATAACTCTGTAGGTATTTGCACTGGCGATCCATGTAGAACTAGACTAAAACCTGCATCTAGTTGGTTATCATGCATGCCAGCACCCAGGAAAAGTTCAAGCATTCAATTCCTCCTCAATCTACACTTGACCTCTATCGACCTCTCTTCCCTCATCATTCTCGCCTGGAATATCCATCAGAACCATCCAATTGTCGTATCAATATAACCTTCCGGTTCTATCGACCAGACTTCAGGCCGCAAAGCATCCCACGTTGCAATTGCGGCGTACCAACAATTTTGCGTCCAGACATGAAAAATAGACATGACGGTCGGACAGACAAATACTGGTGGACATGCTACGCTGGCGCACAGAAGGAAGGAAAAGGGTGCTCGTTTTGGCGGGTCATGGACATGAAGGACGAGGGTCGAGGGCCGACCATCTCTGATGTAGGGAGCAATGAACGGTAACGTGAATTATGCCACAGATGTGCTCAAGCTCATGTGATTATACCCATGAAACAGTTCTGGTACGTCACTCTCGTTGCATCATTGTATAGAAAAGGGCTGAAATCATTACAACAACAGCGATGAACATTTCGGGAACAACAGGTTAAATGTGTTACTAGATTCCGCTGAGCGTGATGCAAGTTCCCTCAAACCTTCAAGGCTTCGAGCGGCGAACTTAAATAATCATCAATGCAAGCATGTGGTAATGGTGATGGGTTCCGTAGTGGTCCGGCAATATCAAAATTTCGCTGGCGCATGCTGTGGTAACAAGAATGTTCAGATTCTTGCCTGGTGACATAGAACTACAAGAGAACTCGCCGGCGTATTCCGATAATCTCTACAGGATAATCTGGTTTCTACGGCATCCCGCAGGATAATACATAAATATAACTCGACATCCCCATGTCGTAGCCGTGGCTGGCTTGAAGACAAGCGCCTAAAGCCGTACGTGACAGAGTGGCATTGTCGTAGGGCAGCCATCACAACGCACGTGTGAACACCCTCCGAGTCACTCAGTTGTTTGGGTGGCAAAATTGGAGCCACGCGGTTTTTCATCCACACCTGTGAATTCCATTCTCTAGGTCATCAGTCGATCAGGACGTAAAGCAGCATACGGCATGGTCGAGTCACGGGTGAGTCTACGAGGTAAGGTCTTGACCATCCTTAGCCCTGACAATTGAACGTGCTTAAATTCAATTGAATTTGTTCACGTTACCGATCACATCAACTCGACTGGCTTTTCTATAAGACGGTCTGACACAGGGCATTCAATCTTTATCAGGAACCTCATCTCCGCTTCACCGCCATATTAACACACCCTGATTGGCACTTGTCCATACACAGAATTATCGATACATACACGTCTTGATCATGAGTCGGAACTTATCAAAGACGTAAAGAGGTTCGGGCAAAGATCGAACAGAATGACGGCGCAGGATGCAGCTGGAGGCGGTTGATGAGTTGCCACCCCAGATCCTGGAATAGGAAAACGCTGATCTGCTGCACGCTGGAAATGATCACTCCCGGCAGACCCGTTGTACCTCACCGCAGTTTGGCTTTCAATGATGGCACGACGTCGACTTCCCATGGCTCGTCCCGGAGTGACATCTCTTCTGAATTTTTTTTTTGAATTGACGGATATGATGGGAACTATGGTCATTCAAGAATAGAACACAACAACAAACGACAACGTGTTTCGATAGTTTTCTGCGTCTTGGAAGGCGCTCCTCGTTTCAGGGTCCCTATGAACCCCTTCTGTCATTGGTCTCCGCCAGAATGTCGGTTATGGAATCCTGGGTTTGTGGCGCCGTATATTAACCTTGCTGAGTGTTCTATTTGTCAGAGTGAGTGAATTCTCTGTTATCTGAATTCTATGACCGTGACCTTTCCACAACCATGCTTCTGCACTAGTCCAATTGCAGAACCTGAGGCTCCATGATATCTCCTATATTTTGAACTTAGTTCCCGGAGTTGGAATTGGAACAATGCAGCTGCACGGCCATCATCTTTTGTAAGTAATATTAAAAAAAAGATATCAAGTAAACGCTCCTCACTTGATGCGATTGTATCGTGTGTATGAAGCTATCTCATGTGTGAAGCTTCCCAATTTTAATGAATTCCCTAGGGCAGACCATTGGTTAGTTGTGGTGTGATGGTATCAATGGTCGACTATAGATTTGTAGTGTACGTAGTATAAAACTTTTTGCCTCTGATGATCGTGCAAGATCTCGGTGTGATCACAAGAACTTGAGGGCAAGAGCTCGGATATAAAACTTCGGAATTGCTCGGCATTGACGTTAGTGATAGAGTCGGATTCATCTTTTGAATGTCTGAGCCCATGGCCGCCACCACTACCAGTGTGCGCTGCAGCCACGTACGCGCATCACAGGGATTGTATCCTCCACAGCAACGCGCCATACTTGCCAATAAGTTCTGAGGGAAGACGGGCTGCACTTAATGCATGTTAAATACGAATATTTTATCTGGCTGAACGTGTAGAACCAAGTCACGTGGCGACATTTTTCAAATTCTCCGCTCTCGCCCGAGTTCGTAGTGCATCACCTTCAGAGTCAGACCTTGTCATTCTCACTACTTGTCCATTAGACCATGGCCCGTGTATCATTCCAACCGACCTCGCCAGCTCGCTTTGCCAGCACTGTGTGTATCATCTCCTGCCATTCTGGCCAAGGTTCAGTTATTGATGCTTGCCTTTGACGTGATTTAGCTGGCCAAACGGTGGGGGCCAACGCTAGGCATATGGGGTGTGGGTGCCGGTACCGCTGCTATCTTCGTGCGTCTAGATAGTGCTGCTCCTGTTGTCTTTCTTCTGATTCACCGAATAGCTATTGTCTGTTACCCCGGTTGTGAAGAAGGGTCTTCTCGTAAATGTTCCACTGGTGAGGTCCTACGTTATCATGAACATTCATTCTACTCATGACTCGAAACTCTCATCTCGCGCGTGACGGATACAACTTTAGCTTGGGAATTACTACGAGGACAAGACACCTGCTTCGGACAAGCCGTTCTAAATGGTCTGCAATTATAGACACATACCGCCCTTTGGAATACCAGTATTTCATTTAATGTAGAATGCGGCTGCCCAGAATATAAGTTCGTGATCATTGAAATCCGCCGCGGAGGCGTCAATACAGATTGTGATACCACCAAACTGTAGCCATAGCTTTCAAAGTTTAGCATATGTTGTGTTGTCATGGTCAAGGTCACTAGTAAGGTCGATGCCTAATTTGCCTTCCAATTGCTTGACTGCATTAAGAGTGCCACCTATCGGAACATCTAAAAGAAGATTCATCAGGACAGTTTGCCAGGATATGTCGTTGGCGCCGCATGTCTAAGCTGCTAAAGATAACGCAGCCGCGGACGCATGTACGGATCACATGTACTTGGAATACGCGACTTACGGATGGTCTCCATGCCAAGAGCGCGAGCGGCCTTCAGATTCCTGTTGACAGTTAGAAGTAAGAGCACTCCACTAGGAACGCAGTAGGAGCAGTCCTTACATTCCTATATCGTCAAGGAAGACGGCTTCTCCGGGACGGATGCCATTTCGGTGACAGGCGAGAAGATAGAATTCAGGATCAGGTTTCCTGTTGATGGGTGGAAAGCAGTATAAGTAACACCACTATCGCTGAACCTCGTGAAGATCGTAGTTGAAGGTTTTCCTAACGTACCGCATGCCCAACTCGCTGGAGTCACAGAAGTCGTCGAATAACGCGCGGAGATGAAACTTTGCCTTATCATCCCATCCCAAGAACTGCAACTCTGAGTCGGGAACTCCCATAGGAGGTTGTCCTGCGGTCAGGGGTGAAGAAGAAGAGTCCGTGATGTGCTTCGAGTAATTATTAGTAAGAGCGACGATAAGCCATCTTCCAGACGCTATCGCAGGCACTAAGCATGATTGGAGTGTACTGTGATGCAATAGAATCACCTCTTATCCGGTGAATGGCCCGTAGGATGTGGCAATCATAGCTGTCTGTCGCATCATCCTACCAAAAAGCTTGTGGCGTTGAGGGGATTAGTAGCCGGAGGCGGCTCATTGGGCGTTTCCAACACTGACCTCGCGGCCGTCAATATCAAGCATCACAGGTAAAGTCGGGCACTCTGATTCGACAGAGATTAAAATATTTACCCAAGAAACGTACGAGTATATGAGGCCATACCTATTTTTTTGCGAGCACAGTATGCCGTGTACCATTTGTTACTATTGTCTGTGTCAGACAGGTCACGTCCAAACTCTTCGTAAAATGAGAAGAGGGATAGCTCTCCACGTTCGAACTTCTGCCAGGCACCACCAGGCCCTCGGGAGGTTCTGCCCGCAGAAAAAGTCAGAAATGCAGAGATGAACAAAGCTTGAACAAGCAGACATCGAGACATTCAGGTAATCCTTAGGTAGGCCTTTCTCCGACTCAAACTCATCGATTGCAATAAACGGGCTACGAAGGACGACGCCGCCAATCTATAAATCGCAGGGGATAGTCACCCGAAGATGATCATGATAGCAACTATGACGGACAACAGACGGTACCGCAGACGTTGTTCGCGTCGGCGCTATTGGGACGTACATCAAAAACAATGGCCTTCAGGTGAGGAGAAGACATCGGTTAAACGAACCCGGCGGCTCCTACGTACGCAATGGTCACCGACTGTGACCGCTGCCGCACACGGAGCTTGTCAAACCGAACAGACGACACAAGGAAGAAGAATAATCAATTGGGAAATCACGGCATCTAAGTACCAAAGTTACCGGTTCATATATAATCATTATTAATCCCGGCGGTTCGGTCGACATAATTCTCAAGAATCGAGTTATCTCGCGAAACATTTTCATCAAGTGTCCATGTCAGTCACAGATTGGCAGTCGCTGTCAATGTCAGAACAAAGACATGTCTTTTTCCATACTCGCATATTTGTATCTAGGGGGCTACCTATCCGTGGTATTGGTATTGCTTCAACGCGTCGGTCGGAGTTTGAAAATACCTCTTGCTTTCTTGACTCCTTGTGCAACATATTCGGGATACTGTGAAGCTTCCATCTCTGCCAATTCAAATCATTCATCCGTGTATCCTATCGTTACCAGCTTGCAAGACCAAATATGGCTAATCCACGGCAACGTCGTAAAGCCAAATCATCAACGCATAAAACCGTATCCCATTCACGGCGTGCCCAGAAGCTCCTGAAGAAGATGCCAGGTGAGCTTCCGATCATAATCTTGTGTTCATTTGCATGGTATATGAACGTTTATGCTCATTTATCGGATGCTTGCGGATTCTTGACTCCCTTGTTTGTTATACCCGAGTGGTCTTGCACTCTCGTTATGCCTGATTGGTTTTTAAGAAGATCATAAATGCGATAGACTAAGTGCCCTGCTGATGAAGTTCATTTTTAGTGATACGAGGTCCAAAAGTCTTGCAGGACGCTTGGGATAAATCAAAGACAGTTCACCAAAAGTGAGTTCACCCCGTATTGATTTTAACTTGTCTTGCTTTTGGAGTGCTAGTGGGGCTGGTACTTTCGAAGTTGTCAAATCTTACGGTGATGCGGACTTCGTCGCCGATCACCAGACTTTGGCGAATAAGGATTATCTGCTCTACTGGTATGATTTTTGAGGCAGGCTACCACACGTGGGTGACTGTCCTAACGGAACTCGTCTTGATTTCTGTCAACCTCCGCGAGACTTGTCGTCAGCTCCGCGGCTCATAATTCAAATGAATTGGTTTTTGATCGGTCGTTCAAATATCTGAACAAATATTTTCCTACAGTTATGCTGCACTGGGGCTTCAGTTCGCTTTGACCCCCACGCATTCGGGCGGAGCAGAGCGGACATTAATCCCTCCAAAAGGTTTAGCTGGTGCTGGGTCAGTTCCTGCTACCCCTAAATCAGTTGAGTCCAGCCCTTTGGCTATCCCCAGAGGGTTTGGAAGAATTATTCGAGACGAATTCGGTAATGTGATACGAATCGACCTTTCTGAATTTGAGGAAATCCAAGACTCTGTACAAAACACCGAGCTCCCAGAAGCGGATGTAGATGAAAAATCTATGGATAATTGGGTCGGTTGTCTCAATAAAATGCATCATCCAAATATGGATTCACAAGGATTGTCCTCGTCACCTGCGCAGGGTGCACATCCGGTTGTTGGTGAGTGCCGCTGTTAAAATGAATGTTCTAGTGGTTTGTGGTTCGATGCCTTCTGGCGCGAAATTCAATTTTCCATGATGTTGGTATGATGTCAAATGATCTCAATTAGAGAGGACATTGTCATACTTTTTTTGGTCTGCTGTACTTTGATCTATTTTTGTGGTGCCTACGGCACTAGCGCTTCTTTATGGTTCATATGACATACGAAGTCTTTCGATTACTGATTGTTTGAAATAACAGTGTTGGAGAAACTGTCGGCCTCGGGCAGGGCACTTCCGCGACACTCGTCATGTGGAGAAAGATCATACCTCGCGCGCTTAATCCAAAAATATGGCGATAACTATGAAAGGATGGCAAGAGACCGCCGTCTGAATCCTGAACAAAAGACAGTGGGTGAGCTAAGAAGGGCGGTCGGAAAAGCGGGCGGGGCGGAGTCATTCTGTTGACTGATATATTCATGTGCACACATTGTCGCAGACTGACAATGCAATACAGGTCTGTAATGTTGCTTCTCCAGCGCTACAAAGTAGGGTGGGTTGTTAAAGAGCGCTCGGTTAAGGGGAGTCAACCGACCCCGATATTACATGTGTGACTGTCACACCGGGACTTCGAAAACACCCAAGGCTGTGTACGCCCAATCGGAACGATGTTCCAGAGAATTGTACGTATGCGACTAGTATGCACCACGCTGTTTTCTTGAATGAATGTCGTTTAACAAGCAGGGTCAGGGGTGATATCGCAATGCAAATCACTACTAGTAGTACTTTGAGTTATGTAAGATAACCCCGACAGGTCACAAGAGCACGAGGTGGCCGCTCGTGTCTTCAATATGTGGCGCAAAGTTACGAAAAGGTCGACGGCCTGCCTCCTTGAATCTTCATGCGTGCGTATATTGGCCAATCTGCCAATGATCGCTCGTTGAGTTAATGTCAGGGACGAGCTTTGGATATGAGCGTATCAGCATGTCGGTGTTGACAATGTTCAAGAGTGTGGGCCCTGGCTTGAGTCAGAAGTGACATTTCCATCATAGAAAAACATAGCTTGCCGCATCATAAAGCCTCATAAAGCTTGGGATGGAACCAATAATCAAAGATCTGAGTTAATTAAAGCCGGCATGTCGGAATTCGAAATTGGATAAGTTATTGACACCTTGGAGTCTCGACCTTCGAAAACGGCAAAGTGGCCAGGACCGAGCCTATCAATAACAACAGCGCTCGCAGCTCGCCGAACACATGTACGTAGACACCTGTCAGGGTTGCTCAGTTAGTGAGTGGGCGGCATGGCGTGGCTCTCCCGGCAGGTTGTCTTTCCGATTGGCGGGGAACACAGTGTTCGATATTACCCGGGGCGGCAGAGGCTTGCAGAGGTCAGAGTGAATCAGTGCCTGTAAGGTGACGAGAAAATCACTTCATACGTCCTGAATCTATCGATATCTGAATACCAAGATTTACGCACAGCCGTATGAGGTACATTTGGCAGCACACAAGATTGAAAACGTTGCAGCCGCCTGTAACCGCTTGGAATCAACGTTTGATTGCGACGGGCCTCGTGCATGAAATAGGTTAGTCGGCTGATAGCGTTCAACTTGTGATAATGATTGGTTAGATTCACAGATCATCACGAGCGCCACTAAATGACGAGAGTCTGCGCTCACAGGTCGCCGAAGGTACAGCATCAATATTGCGATTTTTACGAACAAGTTCACGCGAAGGTAAACGGGCAAACCCCAAATCTGGTGTTCCCGAGAGATCGACTTCGACTTACGACATCCGCTTTTCTCGTGTCTTTTAGCTATACCATTTTAATCCTGTGTTCTGTTCGAGCCGTCTGAACTGCCAATCGAACTTCCGGATATCGACGTCAAACAAACAATATTACCTTCATCATATCATATATCTCCGACCTTATTATAAATTCCACCATTGTTATCCTTTAAAGTCCTCAACTCTTTCCCTTGATCTGCTCAACAACACAATCTTCTACCACAATGTCGCCACGAGCGTCTTCATCTACTCCGAGAAGCGCGTCCGCAGCTAGCGCTCCATACCCACGACGAGCTGCTGGTCAACCAAAGTCTTCTAGGCAACAGTTCTCCGCTTGCGGAGCTTGTCGCATGCGAAGGCATGTTTTCAATATTCATAATTCTTGACATATATTCATGTCGAATTTCATAGAGTTCGATGTGACCTAAAAGACCTTCCCATCACCCAGACTACAGGTGGTGTGCAGCAGCCTTCATGCTCAAACTGCAAGGAACGTGGGATCAAATGCGTGTACGTAACATTCAGCTCGTCAGTTCGACAATTCATCATGTCTGCTGTAGTGATGAATTTGCTGAAGTCAAAGCTGTAAAACTTTTAAGACGCGGGCGCCGTCTACAACAAGTAGAGTAAGTCATAATATCTGTCTCCCGTTTCATTCAGCTAAATAAAATTAGAGCTGTCTATGGTAAAGTTACAGATGACGATTCAAACACGTCTTCGGCAATGTCCACAGGATCAAACTCCACGATCCCAACCACGCTTTCCGCGGGGATCGCCGTGCCCAGACAGAGCATTATTCCCCAGCTGACGCTAGAATTCCTCAACTCATCTTTCTTCCGCAGGTTCAGCATCCAACGTAAGAATTCATTTTGCCATCATGGTTATCATGGATCCAATTTTCATCATCTAGGTCCTATAATCGAACCCACTGAATTCACATCAAGATACTTTGCTCATTTGAAGGGCACTTCCACTCTCAGTATCGAGGGTCAGATGATTGCGATGTTACTTGTCACATGGGCTGCCTCATTTGGCGTCAATGAAAATGGTGTTGAGGAGGAAGTAGAGCCGCATTCCCCCACTATCCCCGGCGGACCCAAGTTCTCTCCAGACGATGATGACGATTTCTCTGACCCCAGCCGTCGCGTCCGTACTCTTCGTGTGGAGACAATGATCAAGGAGATCCTACATCTAATCGATACTCATGCTCTGCTGCGACACCCGACTTGGGACGGTGTCAGGGTCCTTTTGCTCATCCTCCCACTAACCCAGGGTATGTATCCATCAATGATTCCAGGGTGCCCTCAGCTGATGCATTCGTCACCAGGCATCCAAAGTCCCATGGACAGGGGAGTAAGTGCTGGTGCTCAACTGATGACACCGAATCGTATTGACTGACTGTCCCTATTTAGACTATGTACGAGGCGACGCTTTCCCAAGTTTACACACTCTGCAGCCCGACCAATCATTCCGTGATACACAGTGGCCAAGGATCTTATTGTGATGCACTTGTCCGTGCCAGAGTTTTCTGGTATGCCTACGTACATGAAGGTGTCCGCACTGCCTTACGCGGTGGTCGGCTATATCTGTAAGCGCATGCCATTCCTGAGTGACATTCTCTGATTACCCCCAGTGACGAGGATGACCTTGTTGCATTCCAAAGCACGCTCCCTCCTCAATATTGTGCATCTGCATCTGGCAGTGCTTCTTCCTCTACGTCTGCTTCATCACGCTCCTCGCCTACTGCCACTTCTCCAGTGTCATCCGATTTCCCTGTCAATTCTTTGCAGGATCCTCGCGGCCACTCGCGCGCCTCGCTTTCTTACCTCCTCTCTTCCCATTATTTTTCGCTCGCCCTTGCCGTTTCTGGTGTTTGTCGTGTGGTTCACTCAGTGCTCACTGGACCTCGTGCGCGTCGTCGCACCGATGCCGGTGTTGCCATCCGCGAGGACTCCCTCGTAGAAATCTGGGATGGTCTCGAGCGGTGCTGGGAGGATTTCGAGTCTCTCCGTCGTGGAGCGGGCGGCATGGGCACTGTGGGCGGCGGCCTCGTACGTGGAGAGGATGTCGAGCGTTTCGTTAGTGGATGGCAAGTGTTCATCTTTGAGTGCTTGAACATCATTCGGGAAACCGTGAGACAGCGCATCGTTGCGCAGACCAAGGGTAGCCCCGACTCAAACGGTCATTCCCCTCCCGCTGATCGTGCCCTTTGTCGCATGCTTACTCAGGCTACTCGCCGTTGCCGCCTTTTCCTTCCCCGCGTCATTGCCATCTTGAAACGGCACCTTGCTGTTCCCTCCAGCGGTTTCTTTGCTCATGATGCTGGCCTCATCCGGGACGGATGCTACTATGCTGCGTTGCTACTTGCACAAAGCGATGTTGATCAGGATGCAGATAGTGATCTGAAAGGCGAAGATGGACTTGCTTGGGACATGGACGCCGAGGACGGTGTTGACGTGTGTCTCCGCGCACTAGGAGAGATTGGCTGGATCTACGCCAATAGCCAGGAGCGAGAGAAGACTGTTCGCATGGTTTGGGAGGCACGGGTCATCCGTGATGATGAGCGCCGTCGTGAACGCAACCGTCAGCGTGATTATCTTGAGGATCAACGTGCTCAGGCTTATCACTCAGGACAACGTTCGCAGGATCGTTCCCCTTATATGATTAACAAATCGTCGCTGCCGTCGTCCGCTCGCGGCCAGGGAGCGACGCCTCGTTCGCTCTCACTTGTCTCAGCCGCTGGACAATCTCGCCCTCATCTTCCCCCGTTGTCGCTTGCCTTCTCTCCGGTAGACAGTGCTCCCAACACCGCTATCACGGACGATGGTAGTGGCAGCTGGACCACTTATACGCCACCCACGACGTCGGGTTCAATGACGAGTAACGCCACTACGAACCGCAGCGTCTCGCCACCCGATTCTAAATCGCCCCATACACTGTCATCATTAAAACATCTCCCTCCTATCCAACACTCATTGAAAACCGAGAATGATTCATTTTATAATGGGGTCACTGATCTGGATCCATTCTCATTTTCTGTCGACAGCACTACCGGCCCCGGTGTCCCCCATGCATGGTCATCGCAATACCAACATCAAGTTGGACCTGGTAGTGGTTATCTTGACCCCAGCGTCATTTTTACTGGACCAGATTGTCCAACCTTCTATCACTAATGAAATAGTTACCATCACTATCAGATCTGTACGTTTTTATCACCGTACCACATGTTACCGTGTCGCCGTCTTGATTCATTATTTCTAAGTTCTGCATCACACAGTGGATCTACTTCAGGCATCCATCATCTTCACATTCATTTCATGGCCATATATTACCGCTTTATCACTTGTCTGGTTAGATTCTTGCATTGTATTAGATTTTGTTTATACCCGCCGTTTACCTAGTGACCTCCAATGATTACCACAACATTCATTAACTTAGACACGTAGTTGTATTATGCTTATGCGGAGAGCATGGCTTTCGAGAATGTAAATCGGTGGTTCTAATGATATCGTATGAATTTTTGATCACTACGTCATCAGAAGATCTGAGGAGATATGCCGGTGATGTGTGCGTGCCATTTTGGAGTACAATTCAATTGCCAATCTCGACATCATCCGTGCTAGAAGCAACTTGGTAGCAGGCTCCGATCAAGCGACAGCGGACCTGAAAAAAGAAAGGGCGCACTGATGACGCGACTAAAGTAAACCTTGCAGGCGGCCAAGGGAAGACTGGTCCCTTCTTTGAAGACCAGAGTCACAGTCTCCAAGAATGTTTTGCTCAGCCAGGCTTGATGCTAGCCTTATCGAATCACCCTGATTGGTTGCGGCGGCAAGTAGGTGTGGAAGTTTCAAGTTTTTTTTTGTCATAGGGTAACTTGGCGCTTAGCATGGTAAAGTCTCCGATTGTACGCTTTCAAACTTCCGCTTGAGTACCAGGCCTATCACTGAAGCCGAGCCGCCATGCGTCAGGTTCCTTTGAACTATTCCAAATATGTCAGTGATTTAATACTCACGGCCGGCAACTGTTAGAATTGATATTGAAGACGCAAAAGTCTCCAACACATTAAGGCCGCAGACGAGTCTTCCATTCCCCAACAAAGGAACAGTGCGGATACGTAACCCCGTGAACGACATTCTCTACCCCATGTAGTCCGGAAGCTTGCATAAGATTGGAAATGTCACCCCGCCGGATGGTAGAGTTCTTGGCTGATTGGCTAATATCTAGGATATGGCGCTCCTGTCCTCGTGACGAAAGCACGCTTTCCAGGGTCGAGTAACGGATGGGATAAACCCTGTACTATGCCAGGGAATAACCATGACCCTCGCCCTTCATGGTGAATGGTCAACCAAGGCAGTTGCAGAGCCCAAGTACAATGGCCTACCACAGCAAGTTTACTTGAATTAACGGGGACTCGAACGGGGCAAGCAATACGTGATCGAACTGAAACGTTAAACATTACGAAACGGACTCCTATCTCCGGACTTCGAAATATCTTTGAAACGAGTGGAGCTGGAAGCGGGCCTTTGCATGTCTAAATGCCGTAGTTTTTATCCTACAGGGTTCCAGATTCTAGGTTGAGCGCTTCTGGCTCGGTGGATAATTTCACAAGTAAGTTGTCCATATTCCATGGAGCAGCACGACTACCGCAGTGTTAGAAAAGTGCAAATTCGGGACGCGGTTACATGGACTGCCGCACAGCTTTGGTTGTTCTGTTTTTTTGCGCCGGAATCAATTAGAAGTCTTCCGGAGGGAAGCAGAAACCTCAACGCTTCGGGTATTCATTGGTTGGCCAAGTTATTGTTTGAATTTCGATAACATTCACTCTCTGGATAGTCTGGGACTGCGCCGAACCAGCGTTCCGTCCGAAGATCCCCGCTGTCAAGTATCAAGGCCCGCCAGGATCTTCGCGTTTGGGACTCCGATAGACACCCTCCGGGCCTTCAGGCGACTCTGTTCTGCATACATGTAAGTAGATTGCGCCCTAATCTGGGCATACAAAGTTCTACTGAGCACATGCGTGCTTCTTCAATTCAAATCGGATTTGCCCGTCACGCAAGCTTCACGCCATATGTGCGTACAATACTGGCTAGGCTAGCTGTCAGTCATGTCCCTGATAAGTGACCCGAAATCAAACGGCCTAGCCCAACTTGGGATACATAACTTGGCATGACCCTCGCCGCGGCCAGGGTTAGAACCTTCACGGGAGAATTCTTGTCTCCCGCCTTGACATTAAATGTGACATTCATACCTAGAACCTTGCCTTGACTTATAGTCGACATCACCGTTCACACCAGCCGTCACACGCGTCAACTTCGATGCCACATGTCGGAATTCCCGGACTCCGCGGTGAAACTCGTCGATTTGAGGGATGCCAGTAACAATTGATTCGCCCATCATGGTGGATGACATATCTTCGCGAAGACCAACCAGTCTACGTGGTGTTGCCCGCTGAACAGATCATCAGAGCGTGTTCAACAGCTATTTTAAAAGAAATCAAAATTGGCATAATTTGAGCGTGCCCGAGCACAGCCACTTATCCAGTGACTAGGCTAGTCACAATGCTGTATCTTATCCGACGTGTACTATTCACTTGACCCCCGTCACCATCGACGAGAGATCTAGCTCGGGATGTCTTACTATCCCCCTAACCCCACCAGTGCCTATACATCGAACCCTGTCAGTTCCTATGTATCAAACCCTGCCAGTTCCTATTCGTCAAACCTCAGTCGATACCCCAGTTCCCAACACAGGCCGTACAGTCATCAACAAGGTCCCCCAGCCGGTTCTGATCCTCAGCTTTGGCAGTGGTTCTGCGCTGTTGATACTGATCGATCGGGCGCCCTCAGCGTCACAGAACTTCAGGCTGCCCTAGTAAACGGTGAGTGGTGCTGCAATCTTGCAGATGGTGGTCGTGCTACAACTGGTTCTGCCGCTCTGCTCTACTAGGAAATTGGACAAGTGAGTACACCCATTGTTGACGTCATGGCTTCTGCGATTGGCAATACAACCTCGCGATCTGCAGGAATGAGCGATCGTGCCGATGCCTGGGACTGGGCTCTTTTTCTATCATAGGATCTGTTCTAACCAGTTACTGAAACTATGCTTAGAGTTTGATCTCGATACGGTGAAGATGCTCATGAACATCTTCGTATGTATGACCTCACTCTGTAAAAAATAACATATAACTTCTCGCAGGATACCGACAGAAGTGGAACCATCGGCTTCAACGGTAAATAGTATACGAGCTTCTCAACTATCGCTGATACCAATCTGGTCTAGAATTTGCTGGCTTATGGAAATATATTGCCGAGTGGCAGCGAGTCTTCAAGCACTTTGATAGAGATCATTCTGGTTCCATCGAAGGACGTGAACTTGCGGAAGCCCTCCGCAGCTTTGGGTACAACCTATCTCCTCCTTTGTTGCAAGCGCTGGAAATCCGATACGGTACTGGAAACTCTTTTCCGCAGCAGAAAGTCTAACTTGTTCGATAGCATCTGGTGCGCCTAGTGCGTATGGCCCCCCTCCTGGTATTACTTTCGACCGCTTCGTGAGAGCATTGTGTAACCGTCAAGACTTTGACCGAAACATTCCAAAGGTATGACTTGGCAAAATTCATCCACGCCATGCAATCCTTGACGACTACCTAGGGCGGATCATGATAATGACGGCTGGATTCAGCTCAACTATGAAGAGTTTTTGAAGGTGAGCAGGTTGTATTGTGAAGTTGGGGGTGCACGCATCTGACTTGGCTGAACACCGCAGATCTCGCTGAGTGCGCCTTAATGCGATAAATCGTATCTGTATTCGTTATGGACGTTGGAGATGTATGATAGTCTTGAAAATACGGTGTTTTATGTACACGCAACCCTCAGCATGTATGAATGAGTCTGCGACGTCAAAGATAATATTCTTTCAGTGTGATGAAGATTGGTGCTGCTTGCAATCTGCTTTGTACATGTTTTAAACCCAATTTGGACCCGTGTGCTGTGTGACTGCGCAGTGGCAAGCCGCCAATGAAAATCGTTATGTAACCGTTAACTCCTCATAGTACGGTACCGCACTGAGCTACCCATTTCCAACTTTCATTCGTCCCTGTCGACATCACCATGGATTTCTTTTGTGAGACAATGTTATACATTCTGCTGACCGGTTTAGCTGATACCTTCCCTACAGTTTGTCTACCAATCATTTGTTCGTGGGATTTCTTGCCTAGCACGCTCGTGTAATACGTACGTTGATATTAATATCCCTGCAGTTGGCTGCCCCACAAAAGTTAAGCCAGAAGGGAATCAAGCAGCCAGAATATGTCCTCGGTGCCATAACGGTACGTGTCGTATAGCTCCTACTACTTTGAATGCCCCATACTAAATCAAACCTGTCTTAGCTGCAATGTTCTCCGCAAAGTCCAGGACCTGGTTCGAGCTGTGCTTCGTCCCACTCATTCCTATGAACTCGAAGCATATCTGGATGTGCGGGATATGTCAGCTTGCAGGTGAATATCCAGCCTGGGTAAGGAGACTATTTGATCTACAATAGTCGAATTGCCAACCAACATCCTTCGGCAGGTGGGAGCCTCAGATTGCTCAACCTGGGTACCAGCACCCGCAACTGCAGGGTCAGTATGGGCCGCCTCAGAACGCTGGATACCAGCCTGGTTACATCCAACCCCAGAAGTGAAACCCCGAATGTCGAGCGGTCGATCGAGTGTCACATCTTCAACTATTTTTGCCCCTTCTGCATACGGGTCATCTTGTACGATGAGGTACGATACCAGGCGTCTTTGTACTATTATTTTGGACACTAGACACTGTAACGCTGGATAAAATATCTACTCAAGTTGTATCATATATGGACTTGTCCTTGCGCTCTCCTTCGCCGTCGGAGATGGTAGATCACAATTCCAATGACTCCAATCAAAAATCCGCACACCCCGCATACCACACAAGTCGCGATAGTATCCCTCGCTTCCGTAGCTGAAGAACCAGGGCGTAGTATGGAAGGTGGGGGAGCTGGATCTTGTCCCCTGGACGATGTGAACTCTGCGAGGGCAACGGATGGGTCCGTCGTATTCAACAACCCGATCGTCGGTGGATTAGAGGGTGTTGTGCCCTGGTGTATGACGTAGACGTTCTACAAGGGTATTAGGGAGTATTAGGGAGGTAAAAATTCTGAACGTACCCTCAAGAACACAGCCCCGAGAAGCCAATCTCCAGAGTCTACCTGTGCTGAAATTAGAACATAACCAAGATTCAGTGTAGGAGCACTCTTACTCCGTTGTTTGCCTGTATTCCACCGGTACACCAACCGTCTTGCATCTCACCTTCAGCCCAGCTGACATCCTCGGGATGAAGTGGGTATTCTTTTGCAGTATCGGAGTTGCCAAGTGTAATGCGCACGTCCACGGCCCTATCGCACCTCACTTGCCACGTTTGTGTCTGCTGATTGTACTTCGTGGACCCACCCGTTCCTATGGCATACCAGAACGCATCGACGTCTCCGGTCGGACCTAAAATGAGAGTTGTCCCGGTGTCAAGTACAGCGATCGGTGACGTTGCACCGCGGACCAACGATCGGGAGAGCGGAAGGACCTGAGCGTTGATGGTGATTTGTTGAATTGGAAGCTTCCAGAAGTCATACTCGTCTGGTGTTGATGCGAAAACCGGAGTGAATACGAACTGGCTTGTATCATTTGTCAGGGAGGAGTCCAATTCCCCGATAGTGAGCGATGAATCTGAATATGAGACGTCCTGCGACTCGTTTCGTCCTAATTTGAACGCAAAGAACCGGTGCTGGTCATCAAAATGAGTAAACAGATTGTCCAGGATGGGTGTCCCAGATGTTAGAGGGATGGAAGCGGCGGGTGGAAATGACAGGCCTAGAATGCCCGAGTTTCCCGTGTTAGAAAGTCCAAGTCCACTCGTCTGGCTAGCCAAGGCTGCGCGGTGATCCTTGAGCATTTAAAAAGGACATGAAATGGAAACCGTACCAAACGTTTGAGAAGATATTTCATACGGGCCGAGTGTTACGGTCTCTGTGCCTACTGTTCCCAGCACTGACCCCACCAGGTATGTCAGCTTGAAAGGCTGATCTGATAAGCTCAGGGTGCTAGATGATGAGGGCAAATATCGTGTGATGCCCAGGCAATCTGTATTAGTACAATCTGATGAAACCACCCACTATGAGATAAAAATTGGCTTTCTAAGGGTAGTCTGAAGATAACGGCAGGCTCACGAGGTCTGAGGAGCCGGTATCAAATGTGATCCAAAATTCTTGTCCCCCAATGCTACAGATCGGCGGCATGAGAGGGGACTAATGGGATGACACCAGCACACGTACTCGGTAAGAATCAAATACGCGCTAAGGGGCCATCAGTTAAATTACGCAGGTGGGAGAACACGAGACCCACTACTCCTGGCTACTGGCCACCGAAACATCACTAAGTAAGACAGATGGATCTTTATGAAGTCCACGTTGTAGGCGAAGCTGCATCCTTTGGGAAGGGCCACTGCGATAGTCTAACCTGTTCAAATTGGTCGCTATATCGAGAGGACACTAGATGATGAGCCAAGGTGATGATTTAGATTGAAAGAGGCCTAAGAAGCTTCTGAATCACTGACTCAACTGTAAGTGGACCTCAATCGATTTAATCCTATTTGATCGGTCTTGATTAAAATCTGACCTGAACTAGTTTCAGTAGAAATTCATGATGCGGTCTAAGCCGCGCTAAGTCATGTCAATGTAATCGGTTATGACTTAATACTGTCAGCCGCATCACAATAAGTATGTACTGCGCCAGGGTTATGTGGCGTTGCTGGGAGAAGAATTACATGACTGACGAAATACGCATCTTCGCTAAATGGGTAGTCCACAACAATGAGGAAGTTCTAATCATCAAGAACTATAACCCTCCTGGGCCCAATTCTTTACAGTGGAGCTTTACGCGTTTTACGCGTTGGTACTTTCAAGGTGAAACCAACTTTACATCAAACACGCTCGACAAAGCATACTGAGCGCACCAGAAAGGCACTTCCAGAGCCAAGGGTAATTTTCTCGTCGCCCAGATAAATGTGCAATAATTTGGGAGACGAGAGGCGGACCAAAGCCTGCCATTTAAATCTCCATTCATTGTTGTGGGGCGGAGAAGGGACATGAGAGTGGCGGTCAAGTGGCGGTGCTTGGGCGGTGCCCTGTTGTGTTGGCAGAGTCACGCCTCACACACCTCGCGTCACATAGCACCAACTGCGAATTCACCTTGTCCTGAGTCTTTTCTTGCCTCGTCTCCCTTAGTTGCCACCGTCCATCTCATACTCGAGCTCACCATGCACACTAGCGAATACGACTATCTTTTCAAGCTTCTCCTCATCGGTGACTCTGGTGTCGGAAAGGTACGTTGCTACTGCGGCGACTAATTTCAAGCTTTTGCTGACCTCGTTTCAACAGTCTTGTCTCCTCCTCCGTTTCGCAGACGACACATACACTGAGAGTTATATTAGCACTATTGGTGTTGACTTCAAGATCCGCACTATTGAACTCGAAGGCAAGACCGTCAAGTTACAGATTGTGAGTTGGGTGCCTTTCACGACTCCCCTTCTTTGGAATACTGCAGCCAGACACTACCACAACGTGCACTGGAATGCGCCAGTGCAGTCAATATGCATTGCGTCGCGAAGTCGCCTCAATCATTTTTACATTAACTTGTGGCTTACATACCATTCATATACGCGTTACAGTGGGATACTGCAGGTACGTTCATATGCTAGCTTCCATGCAATGGTAGGCTGATGCGAGAAGGTCAAGAAAGATTCCGCACCATCACGTCCTCGTACTACAGAGGCGCTCACGGTATCATCGTTGTGTACGATGTTACCGATAACGGTGAGAATGCTTGTCTGAAACGCCGACTTGAACGCTTACCCCGATAATAAGACACTTTCACGAACGTCAAGCAATGGTTACAGGAGATAGACAGGTACGCCTCTGAGGGCGTCAATAAGCTGCTGGTTGGGAATAAGAGTGATCTCACCAGTAAGAAGGTGGTGGAGTACAGTGTGGCGAAGGCAAGTATTTGGTTAGAATATTTTGTTTGGGGTTATTTTAACCTCCTTTACAGGAATTTGCCGACCAACTCAGTATTCCTTTCCTGGAGACGTCCGCAAAGAATGCGACAAACGTTGAACAAGCGTTTTTGACGATGGCGAAACAGATTAAGGATAGGTGAACAAAATCTACCACCCAGCATTCATGCAGTTTATTTGACTTGTTTTAAGGATGGGATCGACCTCGACACCTGCTGGTGGCGCCAAGTCGTCAACAGTTACACCCGGTCAATCTGTTCAGCAACCGCAGTCGAGCCCTTGCTGCTGAAGGAGGGTTGTGATCGGCTTGGGGTGGGGTCACGCTATCGAGATTGTACGCCCTTGCGATGTCTCGTGGCTGCAAGAATTGTATGATGACCCAATACTCAGGAGCGGATTCCTTTATCATATTCCCTTCTACATATCATCTGCTACTTTGGACATGTTCTTTGCGCTTTATCAATTTTCTGCGTCCTAATTCTAGGCTTTCTCTGTTCCTATTCTGCGTGATGCTGAGAAACTTGAGTATGCTCCTATCCCCCTTGAGTCGCCTTGAGTACTGATCAGAAGCTGATGGCCCTGACCCCACCGATCGTCACTGAAAAGATGAACATTATCCTACGTTATCGCAAGCATGTGGCCCATCAGAGGACACTCCAGGAATCAACTTATCTGATCAATACGTCACTATCGCGTCCATATCAGTCGGATTGAGCTAACGTACTGGATAATTGGTGAAATTATCATCGGTTATCCACAGGTATATATACCCCTCTCTCCTGCATTCAGTCTCCAGTCAAGTCCATCTAGTTCTTCAACACATTACACTAAAATGTCTACTCGAGGCAGAGGCGTACCGCAACAGGTTCTAACAAACTCGTTCGTTATATCTAAACTGCCGACAAGGACTAGATATTTTCAATACGAAGGTAAGTTTCACTCTTACTACTACGATGACACAGCGGTTGAACTTCATATAGTTTGTGAGTATCTTTACCCCGGTGGTCAATGATGGTACCTCACTCGAGTATAGCGATCTCCGGCAGCGGGAGAGATGTCAAGAACCCTCGCAGGAGGATCGAAGTGTTCGAACGTCTCCAGAATCACACAGACCCAAAATTATTCACGCCGCGCTGTATTTTCGACGGAACCGTTATCATGTACTCTTCCCGCGAGCTTCCGTTGTCTGGCAGGGACTCTCAAACCTGTAAGAGTAAGGTGTTCGAGTCGGAACTACTAATCAATCTCTATCTTTCTGAAAAGTTCGACGTCAATATGTCTGACAAACCCCGAGTGGATGGGTCTGCCCCAACTCGTGGAGTCGTCCAGGTAACCTTGAAGATGGTCGCCGCTGATCCGATCGATTTCAAGTATGTATTTCTATCGAGCGAGTTTCGTTTCGTTTTCGTTTTCGTTCTGCTTACTGACGAATTATAGTGGTTTACAAGCGTTTATTGACGGAAAACAGACCAAGCAGACCGCTCAGGTCTTGACGGCTATTAATGTGTTACAGTTGATCATCCGCCAGGCACCTAATTTGTGCGTCGCGCTTTTATCAGTATTTGGGTATGAATACTCATTTTTTCTGCAGGAAATATCCAAATAATACACGTGCATTTTTCACCAAAGACGCTGGCATACAGAGCTTGGGTGGAGGTTTGGAGTTATGGCGCGGATACTTCCAGTAAGCTCAGTATCTCTGTGGCGACGCATATTTGACCAACGTACAATAGGAGTGTTCGCCCTACCATCGGAAAGGTTTTGGTGAACATTGATGTGTCGACAGCAGTCATGTAAGCAAGCCCGCCTCAATTACTGTATACTAACTCTCAGTGTAAATCTCAGGTTCAAGCAGGATAACTTTCAGAACGCCGCTCTCGCTGTCCTGAGGCAGAACGATGTTCGTGCGCTGGAGCTCCGCGCAGATTCACCCCAGTTCCGCCAATTGAAAAGTTTTTTCAAGGGCGTTTCTGTCACGCTCGTCCACCGGAAGGGCCTCAAAAAGATTCGAGGTTTAGTTGCCAGTGCTGGCAACTTTCAGTTCGAGAACACCACGGTCAAGGTAGGTTTCGATATGAATCGCATTCATAACAGCTTCTCTCACATCGAGTGCAGGATTATTTTAAGAAAGCTTGGGGTCGCCAGCTACTCCATCCCAATATCATCGGTATTCAAGTTGGTTCAAAGGATCGCGACGAGGTCATCCCAGCAGAGATGTGTCTTATCGCCCCCGATCAGCGATATACACGAAAACTGCCTCCCGAATTTTCGTCGACCATGGTCAAGTTTTCTTCGAAGAACCCCCAAGATCGCCTGGCGCTTATCAGCGCTGGCATCAGCAATTCCATCACGGCCGACCAGCGCTCTGTAAGTAATACATTCATCTTTGCATGCGTTTAATTGACTGCTCGTGCAGGCCCTGGATTACCAAAATTCTCCGTTCTTGCAAGACGCTGGGATCACCGTGTCTCCCGACCCAATCTTGGTCACCGGGCGTGTCCTCCCGACACCAAAAATTCACTACGGGAACCCTGCCACCAGTAGACCAGTGGTAAGTCCAGGACGCTAGAATGCATGAGGTGCAATGATTTGACTTCTCGACCTACAGCAACCGCGAAATGGTTCATGGAATGTCATCGATCAGACCTTCCATGAGCCGAAGAGTCTATCGTCCTGGGGGATTCTTAATTACGCAAGGGTCAGCGACCAGACCATTAACCGATTCATCAATACCTTGCTTAACTCGTGTAAAAAACTTGGTGCCATACGTCTTTTCATCTTCTATGTATCTCGAACTAACCTTATCTGTCTTAGGAATGGGTAAATAGGATGTCGAATTTTGTTTCTAGCTGCTGATCGCTGTTTAACAGATTTGTCCCCACCTTCAGCAAGTCAGTCGTGTTCTGGCGCGTCCTCCGTGGTGAACGTAAGCGCTACGTCGATTCAATCATCAACATGGACTCATTTTCAGCAGGATATGAGGTCACTTAAACATTCCGTCCACAACAAGATAGGCAAAGATCTGGAGATGGTCCTGGCGATCCTACCGACGAGCTCGACAGATATATATCACGCCATTAAATCATTTGGTGACGTTATCGCCGGTGTATGTGCTCTTGTCTGATCGGTTCGAATGAGGCTTACATCTTGCCTAGTTCCCAACACAGTGTGTCGTGAGTTATGTCGCATTGTTTGCGACCTCCATCGTAACCTTCTCTGTCTAGCGAGAGAACAAGATCGAAAGAGCCAATGACCAGTACTGTGCGAATCTGGGGATGAAGTATGAAATCTCGATCTTTGTCTCAGCATGCACCATTAACTCGTTCGACAGAATCAACGCCAAACTTGGAGGCGTCAATTCGCTGCCAAGGTCAGGTGCGTTGGAGAAACTTATGAATGCCCCGTTCATGGTTATCGGTATGTACCGTCCCTGTTTTGCCCTGGAGACTCATCGAAGGCTGGTTCATCCTGCACCAGGTGCCGATGTGGGGCATCCTGCACCTGGCATGGTAAACCAGCCCTCTGTGGCATCTCTCGTCTATTCCTTTGATCGGTATGCTGCTCGGTACGAAGCCATGATGTCGGTTCAGCACCCTCGTCAAGAAAAGATTGATGAATTACGCAAATTAGTATATGTGAGTTCTTTTCATCTGTTATATGTACATGCGGTTCAACGATCACAAGCGCGCGATCGACGAGTTTGGTGAGCGTAACAGGGCCGCACCTGTGCGCATCATTTTCTTCCGAGATGGTCTTTCCGAAGGGGAATACGCGCTCACGGGTAAAGAGGAGATCGAGGATATCATGGGTGAGCTAGTCCAGCGACAGTTGATTCTTTTTTTCTCACCGTGGAGTCTACTAGGTGCGATTGATGACATCTGGCGGGACAAAAACCTAAAGGGCGGGAAACCTGAGTTGACATTCATAGTCGTAGGTAAACGGTAAGTCTACCATCTTTTCTATCTACTGACTTTTGTCGCTCATCTACTGTTTCCTTCAGGCACCATGTCCGATTCTTCCCGAAGAACAAGTATGTTGCTCGGCTATTACCTCCGTTTCTACTCGATTTATGAATGTATGTCTAGGAACGACGGGGACAGGTCTGGGAACTGTCCCGCAGGATTTGTCGCCGATCAGGGAGTGGGTAACCCAGCAGTACGCGATTTCTACTTACAATCGCACGGTGGTCTCCTCGGAAGTTCGTTCATTATAATCACAGACTTTATCGACTGCTAATTGTCTGTACAGCTAGCAGGCCGAGTCATTACATCACGCTCAGGGACGATATATACAAGCACAACACAGACGAGTAAGCCCGCTTCCCACTACCTCGTCCTATCTCGTTCTCACCTCGTTTTAGCCTGCAGGAGCTCGCGTTCACGTTGTGTCATGCATACGCGCGTGCAACGCGTTCCGTCTCGATTCCGGCACCTGTTTATTGTGAGTGATGGACAGATATCTACGGTGCATGCCATCTGACACGCTTTTTTTTCTTTTCTACCCCAAAGATGCCGATGCAAGTATCCCTTATGTACTGTCCACGCCTATCATCCGTATTAACTACTTAACAGATCGTCTGTGCGCGCGGCGCGTTCCATTTCAACCCCGCCATGGGTTTCGACGGTGCTACCATATCCAGCAATGATGACGCTTTTGACCTTGAACGGTGGAGGAAGAACTTCAAGGACAAGCATGCAAACTTGTCGAAGAAGATGAATTTCATGTGATATAATGCCTTCTGAAGCTCGTAGAATGAGAAATGATGTGTATACACAAACGATTGGAATGTATCAGTGATATGTAGGATGTTCGTTTGTTTGTATAAAGGAATCCAATGACCTTTTCTCGTTCTCATATGCATCGCTTCGAGTTCCTGGGCCTGTGCATTTTAGATAAAGAACCACGTATGACCCGGATAAACGATAGCCCCCTCGGACTCAGAAATCCGTCCGTCCAAGTCCAGACCGAACCCACGTAATGGACGAGAAACCCGTATGTATTACTATCAGTCATCTGTCTCGTGGTAACACCGTTTCAAAGTTCGTGCCACACGGGATGAGACAAGTTGAACAAACCGTATTTTGTCATTGCGGGTCTTGGCTGATACGGTAAAGTGGTACAGGGATGCACTACTCCTCTGTATCGGCCAAGATGTGAGCTGTGAGCCGCAAACTTGTTGGAACGAGTTACGTTATTGGATTTTATCTCGGGTCTTGATTGACACGGTGAAGTGATACCGTGACGGGTATACCCCTCCCGGAAGCCCTTGACCGTGCCAACCAAGACGTACGGTAAGAGTGAGCTGTTGGAAAGTACTGAAGTGCAGTCCAACCCTTTAAGTTCAAGTTGGGCGGACTTTTAAAAACCAGATGGCTCTTCTCAGTATGAAGCACAAACACAAGGATGCCAACCATAAGCGCGACTCACAGACCTTCTAGTGAACGTGTACACAGGACCTACCCAAAAATATCGAGCAGACGCTCAACTGGCCTTTTTGGAGCAATACATCGAAGCAACACCTCGCGCACACGACTATGCCACATCCATGTGCAATCTATTTGATATACATAGATAGACCTATAAGTTTACTTCTACCGCGCACAATCACAATCGCGTAAGTGGAATAGCTTCCTTGTATGCTTTTGTTCACCACCCGCGGGAAGCAAGTCTGCCCCCCTTCAAATTTTCATCGCTACAAAATGATGATTAACACATGCTCCAAGTACGAACGAGAGCAATTATAAATATGAAACTCACATCGTGAGACCGACCATAGGAGCACCGATATCTTCAGATACCTGATTTTGATTTCAGCATGAAACACGTAGAGATGATGAAATAAGGAGACCCTACCTCAGCGAGCATCTTGGGGTTGTTGTGATGAGTCACCTAGTACGCGTGTCAATTGAGATGATATGATCGATGGAAGGAGATAAGGTACCGCTTGTACGATGGCTCGCGCGCGTTTGGCCGGATCGCCAGACTAGAAAGAGATACGATAGAGATAAGTGGACAGAGATTACCCGCAAGTCAATAGGGACCTACGTGGAAAATGCCCGAACCGACAAATACTATTAACCGCTTGCATCAGGATCAATGCCAACGAGGCTTTAATACGACTCACTTCCATCGCAGCCCAGCTGCATCATAAGTGCTGCATCAGCTAAGATCCGTGGGCATCAGTTTTCCCACTTTACAGCATCAGCGGATGCACATACCAGGCGTGGCGATACCCCCAGCAGCGAAATTGACGACCGGTAACCGTTTTAGACGGGCTGTTTCCTTGAGGAGATGGAACGGGGCTTGGATCTCCTTTGCATACGCATACAGCTCTTCTTCGTTCATCACGCTAGCCTTTCTTATCTCGCTCATGACCGAGCGTTGATGGCGCACCGCCTCGACGACGTTACCGGTGCCGGCCTCGCCTTTTGTCCGGATGAAAGCAGCTCCTTCTGAGATGCGGCGAAGAGCCTCGCCGAGGTTACGGGCACCGCATACAAAAGGCACTTTGAAATTGTGCTTGTTGATGTGATGTTCGTTGTCTGCGGGTGTGAGAACTTCGGATTCATCGATATAGTCTATGCCGATGGCTTGTAGGATCTTTTGTGCCAAAAACGATAAATTGAACCGAGTTGGCATTATGATGAGGATAGGGACTCGCCTGGGCTTCTACAAAGTGACCGATGCGGACTTTTGCCATGACTGGGATGGTGACGGCGTCAACGATGGACTTGATCATGGCAGGGTCACTCTGGGTGGCAGGGTTGGATCAGTGAGACATTGGTGAAAGAGGAAGGCGGACCATGCGTGCAACACCGCCTTCTTGGCGAATATCTGCAGGAACACGTTCGAGTGCCATGACAGCACATGCCCCTGCCTCCTCGGCAATGCGTGCCTGAGAGGAGACGTGTTGAGTGAAAGGTCAGGGGCAGGAATATAATGATTCGCACTTGCTCTGGGTTGATAACATCCATGATGACACCTCCCTGTATGGATGAAGAGATAAGAACGGGTAGGGATGTGTTTGGAGTGTGTGAGTACCTTGAGCATTTGAGCCAAGCCTGATTTGACCTGGGAATGGTGAGTTTTGGATGGATATTGTGGGATGTGGGCGTACCCCAAATGTTCCCAACTTGCTGTTTCCTGTATCACGTTGTGCTGATCGAGGGATGACAGCTGGGGTAGGGGCGACTTGAGGGACATTTGGAGTTGAAGAGGAGTGGACATTTTAGAAAGAGATATGATTAGAAAAAATTAGATTGATGATTATATTTGCTGAGTACGAACGGAGTCACGTCGGGTAAAAATACGCGTAAATAATACGCGTGACCTATGAGATTTATTCACAATTGAAGACATCGGATGAGAGGGATATGTATAGGATGTGCGAAGACATGGAACATGTGACTACAAGTCAGAAACCCTTGGACGTGAGCCAATTGATCACATCATTCTTCCAACGACCACCTGAGATGACAAGGTGCCTTTGTGCTATGACCTGGACTTTTAAACGACTTGCTTGTGGGGAGTTGTGGCTGAAGAGGGATTGTTTCAAGTCGTTGGCAAGAGACTGCAAGTGGTGTCAGAAGATGAGACAAAAGGGATGAAAGACAATCACGTCAAGTTTTCCTTGGACGTTCCGAATTGAGATGATGTATTTTGTGCCACCGTTGCGAATGTCAGTGTAGACAGGCAAGGAACCACGAGAGTTGCGTGGAATGAAGAAACGCATAGTGGAATGGTTGATCGGGGTTTGAATTGGTTGAACAAAGCCAGCAGAACTACCTCAATCCGTCAAAATAAATTTGAAATTGATGTAATGATGAAACCCCCCTTGATCTGGCCTCCTTGCCTCCTTACGTAGCTATGGAGTTCCTACTCACTTATTTACCTTTATCCGAAGGTCTCACTCTCCATATAAGACCCCATACCATTTCCTCCTTCCTTCCTTCTCTCTCTCACCATCATGTCCCTGCCTGACTGCTGGTCATCAGACTCCAATCCACTACCTCTCCTAGACTGGTCTGACCTCTGGATTAATGCTTTCGACAAAGGCAAAATCCCTTCCTATAATGCCTACTGTAAGCACCTTCTCAATTCTTAAATCCCCCCACCTCCTAATTATAGTATTCCCAGTTCCTCCATCCCCTTCTGAAACATGCTCCTCCTTCTCAACCGATCTATCACCCTCCCCAGAACCAGTCACCATACGTGTAGTCTGTGACGTTCCTCTACTCGCTCCTCGTCCACTTCCATATCATTCTCCAACTTTCCTCAAATTCGATCTACCCGATCCCGACGAAGACTTGTCACACCCACCCTACACACACAGACCTTCCAAACGGAAACGTGATCACAACGACAACCACGACCATGATCATTTGCGTGTAAAACGCCGAAATACTGGTTTGCAACGATGGGCAGCCGGTGTCCATCGCCAAGCTCACTCCGGTAGCGGTACACAGGACCGTTCTCACGTGTATACCGCTACCCGGCCTGATCGCTTGCCATGAATCATTCCTAATCTTAGGGGCATCCTTCTCACTTCATATTATTCCCCTTTGTCAGTCATTTTCTCTCCCTCTCAACTCCTTTCTAACCTCCCCTCACTCAGTCCTTATGCCAACCCGATTATGTATATCTCCCCAGGGCCACTTGATCTTTGCCACATATTTTTGCCGCCCCACCGCCTTTCTATCACACAGCTTAATTCGCACAGTACGTTTCCTCCACACCACACCACCGCAAGTTAGATTCATAATTACCAGCATTAACTCCACATTGTACAGTATTACATAGCATGTCATCTGAATCTTTCAGATAGTGGAATCGTAGCATATGATCACCTCATGCCAAGGCCCCACACAATTACCGCTTTCAATGGCAAGTTTCCACCAAGCATCATGTTCTCAACATCTTGATGCCTTCCGATGTGGATGCCAACTGCAATATGTTCATTTCCGTAAGTTCCATTCCATGGCGCGCGTCCCTGACGGCGCGGCGTTCACAAAAAATCGCGTATATTCCACAACCGGATCCTCCCACTATACGTCAAAATCCCCTCCCAAATAAATACATTCCACTTCGAGGTATGTACGCTCCACCAACGCAGCCCACCACGGTGCAGAAGCAAGGACTCTATAGCACCATCATCTGCAACAGACCTGATCAGGCAGTTAGTATTATTAGCATCCGTCCCGATAGCCTTGCAGTTACGTTACAAACAACTTCTAGTAGCTAGTAATAGTGGTCTAGGGCTCAACCTGTAGAACCGGAAAACTCTGCCTCAAAATCAAAAAACCCATTCGCACTCGCAGCTTTCCTCCGGTGATTCTCCGCATGCTCACGCCGTATCTGAGCAGCCCGGAGGTCTATACTCGTGATTTCCAATTCGTGCAGTGCTCGTCGGACGGCTTTGGAGATTTGCACTTGTTCAGATGCTGCGCGTGAACGGCTGGCTTCGATGGCTTCGATTTGGGTTAGCTGTGTTGTGTCGTGTTAGATGTGATGCGATGTGATAGGAGTAGTTTGATAATTACCTCGTCTTTGTGTTTTTGGCCTAGCCGTTCTTTAAGTGTTTCGCGGCGCGTAAAGGGGGGGAGGAATGGCGCTGTGGGGGCTTTGGGCATTTCACCTGGGAGTTCCTCTGGTACTGGGTGTTTGAGGGATGGAGCGGGAGATGCCGGCGTTGGAGGCGTTTTGACTGCACTCAGTGCGTGATAAGGTGAGTGGGACGGGTCGCGCATTTTAAAGTCTCCTTCGGCATCTTGGTCTGTGGACTCTTGCTTGGCTGAAGCTGGAGAACGACCGATATGTGCGTCTTCAAGGACCGATTCGGCCTTGAGACGGAAGTCGTCGTTAGGTTCAGCTTTGACATATGGAGAGGCTGATTTTGTGGCTGATTTCTCATCTGGAGCGCGAAGCGAGCGTTGGGAATGTGCTGGGGAAACCGGCAGACGCGTTTCTTCATGCGTAGGTTTGGTATCTCGAGACATCGAGCGCTTTGACGGACGGGGACTGGGAGTCCGACTCCCGCGTCGCCTGTAGTCTGATTGGTGACTTCGAGGCCCTGAAGGTGGATGGGGAGTATGCCCTGACTCGTGCTTTACCGGAGATCTCGATGAATACCGATTAGCGCTGCCATCAGGAGAAGGTGGCCTGCTGTATCGTCTAGGTGAGTATGAACGACGAGGAGACTTTGTAGGCGAATAGTGCTCCCGACGGTGTTCATTTGAATCTATATATTAAGAGTTAATAGCATAACATGCTTTAGAGTGTAAACGTACCTTGACGTGGAGAATATGGAGCTCTATGCATACCCGATCTCTCCCTATCATCGAATCTTCGTCGATCATGGTGATTCCTGTCATACTCCCGACTCCTTCCCCGCCCTCCATAGTCCCTATCTCGCTCCGAATCGCGGACTCGCCAGCTTGCTCCTCCGTGGTAACTACTCCCTCTGCGCGGTGAAACACGACCCCTCCCGCGCCCTCGTCCCCTTCCTGAATGTTCATCGCGCGTCCAAGCCCTATCGTCCCTACGCTCCGAAACCCTTCTGTCTGGCTCCCATCCCCTCTCTCCTCTAGGGCGTTCATCACGGTGGTAGTACTCGCGGTGGGTATCATTTCGAGAAGGCGAAGTATAGGTATCTCTTCCTCGAGGTGAACGTGGTGGTGGTGACCGGGGAGGATGATAACTTCTATCTCTGTCTCTCTCTCTTTCGCGATCACGGTCTCTGTCATCGCGTCGGGGACGGTAATGGTCTGGTGCAGCCATTGGCACTGGCCTGCCTACATATCGCCTGTCATCTGCAGGCTCAGGCCAGCTACTTGCTGTTCTGCTGACTTCTGGTTTGGGAGGTAGACCGCTCATGGGGAGTTGCTTGAGGTTGTCGGAGGGTTTGTGAAGGGTATATTTAGTGCCGCGGAGATTGAATTCAACAGGCCCTGAATCTGTGTTGGTGCAAATGCTTGAGAGGACTGAGCGTCAGACATGCCTGTTGATCTAGTCCCATTAGCTTCGACGTCTCAGATAGAACGCACCCCTTCTAGAGAGGATGGTATACCTGCGGAATTGGAAGAGGATCTGAGGGCATTTGGGTGCAAGCTTATTCATGAAGCTGGGATATTGCTGAAACAGTACGTCCAGCGCAGCGTTTACACTGAATCAAGTTATGAAACCTTTGGACAGAAAACAAGTTGCTGTAGCTACAGCTCAAATCCTATTCCAACGTTTTTGGTATACAACTTCCATGAAACAGTTCGGTATCGGTGTGAGTCCTCTGCTCTTATCCCACTAAAACCCAACTAACGACCGACATCCACAACAGGATATCGGAATGGGAGCCCTATACCTGGCATCCAAACTCGAAGAATGCCCACTCCGTATACGCGACCTCATCAACACCTACGATCTCCTTCTCCAACGCACCTCCCACACCCTCTCCTCTTCGCCCAAACCCAAAGACCCCTTCAAATACGCGCCAATGTCTTACTTCGGCAACACCTTCTACGATCTCAAAGACGCGCTCGTCGTAGCTGAGATGCAGATCCTCAAGCGACTGGGGTTTAACGTCCATGTGGTCCTGCCATATGGCACGCTTATAAACTATCTCCGCGTGTTGGGGTTGACGAGTCGGAAGGATGCTTGTGCGAGGGCGTGGGGGTACCTTAACGATGCGTGAGTGATTCTTGTCACTCATGTTTTATGTCGCACGTTCTGATAGGATGGGAGCATAGCATGCAAACGCCAGTTTATGCGTTATATGCGGTCCCAACGATAGTCAGCGCAGCTATCCTCCTTGCTTCTCGTCAACTTGATATAGCACTGCCTTCTCGCCGCCTCATTGTTGGTGGGACCTCTTTGATGCGCCTTGGGAGGACGTGTGGAGCGTTTGTGGGTATGTTATGCGCTTGTATCGCGAGCGCGCACCGGAGGAGAGGATGAGGGTGATGAGATTGGTGGGTAAGAAGGATGTGAGGGGGTGGTTGGAGGAGAATGCTGTTGTGCAGTCTTGATGTGGTCTTGGCGACTTGGGCTACGTGGTTTTGGTCCGTGCGGCTCTATACGCTGCGGTTGCCTCATGGACCAGGTCCCAGGGCAGATGTGGTTTGGTCCGTGCGGCTTTTCTTGCTGATCTGCATGCTGCGGTCGGTAGGCTTATGGTCCGAGATGACCATGCATCTATCAATTCATTGGTCACCGCAGCTTTGACAAGCCGTCGTCGCCTCCGCGAGTTATAGTCCCGCTCCGCGCTGAGGATGGCGCTGACATCATCTCACTGAGATGCTGAAGACTGGAAACTTTGAACTGGGATATACCCAGACTTCCTCTTGCTCTTCTTTCCTGGTCACCCCTTCGTTTGTCCTCCCCCCATATACGTCTATGCTCAGTACGCCACTCCGGTCCTTCGTTTGTCCTCCCAGCAAACCCATCCATGTTCAGCAATGCCTCAGTTCTACATCGATTAGCAGTACACCCTTGTATTTGAGGATTTTGTCTCGAATCATTGCATGTTGTATGAGTTGCAAATCTCATTGCAGTGGTGTGGTGAAGCTGCACTTTTGTGCACCCATCACTTCTACTCGCAGCACCGGTCCTGCCTCGTTTGACGCCGACTCGAATTCAAAAGCATAGTTCCCGTTGCCCGGTTTGGAGTTCGTTTGGACTTGCAGTAGCCTGTCGATTTTCCATAGATGGCGCTAATTCATCTCCACCTAAACACCATTGGGTAGAGACGCTCAGCATCAAAATTACTGAGAAGGAACGACTGTCTTCACTGTCTCCCCAGGGCAGACTAGCTCGACATATGTGAGCAACCAGGCTCCTCTTTCCTCGTTGTCTCTTTCATACTCTGGAGCAAGTCCACTCTGTCGCAGGATACGTGAGTGTGCTTATCCTTTCTGTCAGCATTACGCCCCTGAACTTGTCTACAATCGTTGCATGCTCATTTGGTCTGCAAAGAACACCCTGAGCAAACCTTTTTTTGATTAGCTCCCCAGAATGGCCCATCCCCATGTTGACAAAAACGATCCAACTCTACCAGCCCCTTTTAGTTCTAAGCTACTTACCCTGCCGGGTCCGCCGTATTATGTACGTCCAACCCACCCCAAGCCACTTTGCGCTAGCCCTACGAGCTTCTAGGGCTAGAACTTGATTGGCTATCAATTGTTCTCGACCGTTGTGCACATTGTACTCAATTCCGATTCGGAACAAAATCATGGTCGACGTAAGGTGAGGCCCTAGTATTGCCGACACCATCCATTTTTATTTTATTTTCCTTTTCCTGGCTAATTATAACGGAGTCTTGAGTCATGAAAGAAATTTTCGTCTAGGTTATCATGGTTTGGAAGTCAGACCATCCAATGAAGCATAGGTCTAGTATGCACCGAGAATCAGGTTCATCAAACTCATAAAGTGTGTTCTAGGGCAGGGAATCGTCTCCTAATGTGACTTGATAATTTAGCTGTAGCGCTTACTCCCTCGGAAAGGGTTGACAGTTTGGACCCTGTCTTCAAGAACCGACACTCAGACTAATTACCGAAAAGATGATGATGGCACACAGGCACGGGGGATACACTCCCGGTGAAGATCACAGCTCATACAACCAAAAGGAGCCAGAACTGCTCATTGCCAGCGGTAAGATGATTTTCCTGAGTTTTACCAATATATTTACTTCGGTTAGGAATCATAGTATCTACGCCTCACAAATTACCGGTACAATTCACTCAAGAAGCATCAAAGTATCCTCATGGCGTACTTGTGACAAAATTAATATTTATGCACGTTGCGCAGTACTGAAGCCCTTGGCTTCCAGCGGCAGCAGAAGCCCGGGAAGAATCAACCCCGGAGCGCCCGAAGTAGTCATATTTGTTCAAAGCGAAGACATGCCGTACATCGCCGTCACATACCCATTCGAATTCAGAACCGAGAATCCTTAACACGATCGCATGCTCCCCGTCGCTCTCCGTCGACAGAAGACGCTTCTCGTGATCGTTGGCCCGATCGCCTGTCATCACCCTCGCTGATCAGATCTCAGAAGCGGCAGCCGCGAATGATTGTCGGAGTCTCTGTTTAGCTTAGTCCATGGCATGGCAAGAACATCTTGTGGGAGTCCTATATAGTGATCCCGTTGGCTAATTTTGCTTGGTCGATGATATTAACCTACATCTGATCTCGCTGGCTAGCAGGCAATTTGCGGTGCTCGGCTCCTCTGGATTCTGGAAGGGGTGAAGCTCGCCATGCGGTATTAATCACGACAAATAAATCCGATAATTTGTCCACATGGATGGACCTTGCAAATGGCAGTGGGTAATACGTTTTTTTGGTACTGAGGCTTCATCGTGCTTGGTTTCAGTCTTGTCATGACTCGGTAGCATCTTGTGTTATGTACCATGACCATGATGAATAGTGCTCAGCGCTCAAGCGCTCATGGTCAATGCAGTAAATGCATGATCATAGGCCAGTAAAAAACTGCTAGAGCTGCCAAATTCACGCCATGTGTAGACACCCAGACAGTCAATACTAGTACTAGTACTGCTTGAGTACTGCGATCCTCCACCGTCAAATGGCAGAAAAAGACGACCGACGTCAGCAGGATTCGAACCTACGCCCTCAAAGAGGAACAGATTTCTAATCTGTCGCCGTAACCACTTGGCTATGACGCCATCGGAGGTTATACAGCGACATGTAAATCATTATCGATTATCCTCCTTGACTCTTTATTATCTTTTGCAAGTCTTCGAAAACTCGTATCGTCTCATTTTGCATCCCCTTGAAGGCAAGGTAAGCACACAAGGCTGAACTGTTGAACTGATATACAAGTTTTGTGCAGGTCGGAGGTCTCTCCTTGTTGGTTTTGACCTGAACGCTCCTGCGCAAATCACGGTTTCCAAGAGTTGGAGTCTTGGACCCAAGATCTTTGAAACCGTTTTTTGTGCAGTAGCCCCAGACTTGCAAATATTTCTCTCACAAACATCCTTTCTTCTGGGCCGGTTGCTTCTAGTACCTTCAGTCGCGAAAAACGGCCATTCCACCTCTCCGTTTCTTCCAGCTGCAGGAATGCACCGAGTCCACATATTGGACCATCCGATCTTCGGAGTGTCCTGAAAGAGGGGATCTACTGGACCACAGCCATTCCTGTGCCTCTTGTATCTTTTGTTGACTAGCAATCTTGTCACCTACACGTTGTGGATCTGGTCAGTGGAGCTCCATCTTTTGGGAACTGGTGGTTCATGTTCCCGAAGGTCGAGGATGCACGGCCTAGAATGAATGAACCACTGGCAAATTACACGGTTGGATCTTTATCTGTCCATCCGAGCGCATCCACAATAGGCGTTGGGTTGAGCCTATACAATGTCGCTTGTTTCGTCGCGGCAATATCTTCCGGACCGTTGTTGTTCCCGCCTCTTCGTGCTTATTGAATGCATCTTCTACTTCCTGCCGCAAGCCCTTCCTCAACTCGTTGGCGACTTCAACCTACATTTCAAACGTGTTCGCGAGTGAGCAGTAACCAGTTAGCCAACGCCTTTTGGCTGGCGCACTGACCAGTGTCCCCCGCTGTGACTTAGTAAGTTATGTTTCAAAGTTTGTCATAGAAGTTCTTCGAGTGATTGAATGGTTGTGCAGCTCATTAATGAAGAAACACCTATTCCGGTCTCTGTTTTTCAGGAGGTGCGTTGCGCTTCTATTGCCGAGTTGATCATTAAATATGATAGGGGTGTTGAAAGCCTGGGGAGATTGTACCGTGGTATATCTCGATCTTGACACCCCCTGGCTGCGCTAGGACCGCTATGACTACAAGAAGCGGGTGCTGTATATGGAGTGCCATATACTACCAGTATCAAGCGTTGAAGGACTTGTCGCAGGAATGTCAAACTCGGTGTACACCTTCTGATTAAATGCATAAATTGACTACTGCGTGTTTCGATAGTAGTGGGCATGTCGCGATGGGTCTTGTCTGGGAGAAGATATTACTTGCAACTCTGATATGTGCAACGGCGGTATGTTGCTCACGCCCATTCTCAGTCACGATCCAGTTCCCGTTGACAAAGAACTTTTGGTGTACAAGATTTTGGCGGAACTGATATGCACTGAATAATCTCAAGATGCCTTGGACTGTGGTCTCATCCTGTTATGCGGCGGGCAGGATGTAGTATTCATGGTCGAGTGCCCCGAACTTATATATGTGTTGATTTTCCAAACACGTGACCTACGCATCGCGATCGGCTTTGTTTATCGGCGTGCAAGTTTGGTGCAAATAAGGTTCAAACCTGGAGTATAAATACCTTGTGTTTGTCGTCGCACTGATATCCCTCAGTCAGTCCCGCCATTATCGTCATTTTACGCTCGCCAGCTTATCTTTACGATCCTCCATTCATTCGCCAATATGATCTCTACTACTACCCTGACTCGCGCCGCCCGTGTTGCCTTCCAAGGCTATCTTACAGTCGCTTTCTTCAAAAAAATCGTCGTCGACCGCACTATTCAGGTCGTGTCCAGATCAGAGAAGGTCACCATTAGCCTTGTCACATCCACTGTCTGCTCCTCGACAGCCGTTCTTCTCATAGCCACCACCAAAGCTGCTCAACAATTCCTCAGCGATGACTTCCAACGCGTTCCCGCTCATAAGGACGTCGACGATATCGCTGAGCCCAACGCACGTTTTGCTGGCGGCAAAGTTGTGGATGCTATCTCAACAACCACTAGGCTTCCGGAGCACCAGCTCAGCCACCCTCGTCGCATGCAGTGATTGAATTGATTGAATCTGCCTTTGACAGTCCTACCGAAGGCTTATCAACAATTGATTCTGACACGACACTCGTAGCCTGCGACGAAGACTTGGCTAAGGACGTTTTCTCTGGTGATCGCGTCTCAGACACCACAGACCTTGACTCGGAGTCGCTTCCTGATGAAAGCACTTTCTACGAGGTGAGTAGCGCGTTTCTTTTTGACTTTTGTCAACTAATGTTTGGGTTTATAGGACGACTGTCAGGCTACAGCACAGTGCCTCACAGACGACGAACCGGAACACATTTTGCACGCCGAATATGACTCTCAGACTATCAACAATCTAATCCAAAGAATGTCGACTCTTTCTCTCGATGATGTACCGTCTCATTTATCAAGTCTTTCTCTCGACAATGTACCTCCCATTTCGACTATTTCTCTCGACGATGTAACCTCTCACACTTCAACTATTTCTCTCGAAAATGTACCCCCTCATATTTCAACTATCTCTCTCGACGATGTAGCCTCTCATACTTCAAGTCTCCCTCGATAATGTGCCCTCTCCCATCTCAACTCTCCTTCTCGACGATGTACCCTCTCCCAGTTCAACTCTCCCTCTCAACGACGTACCCTCTCCTATTTCGACTCTCCCTTTCGAAGACGTACCCTCTCCTATTTCAACTCTCCCTCTCGACGAAGTGCCCTCTCCCATTTCAACTCTCCCTCTCGACGACGTACTCTCTCCCATTTCAACTCTCCCTCTCGACGAAGTGCCCTCTCCCATTTCAACCCTCCCTCTCGACGACGTACTCTCTCCCATTTCAACTCTCCCTCTCGGCGATGTATCCTCTCACTTAACAACTCTTTGGCCACATCCCGACAATGGTTCCCCTCAGTCATCGAAATGTCAGCCTCAACCCACTGCAGTACACGACCACGTTATCGACGACCTAATTAAAAAAATCGTAGCTCTTTCTCTGCATGACCATGCTTTCGATGCTCTACCCCCAAAGCCAGAGGCTCTTACTCTCAACGGCAACCACGCTGTCGATGTTCTACTGCACAAATCAGAGTCTCTTACCCTCGACGACAACCACGATCTACTGCAAAAATCAGAGGCTCCTGCTCTCGACGAAAACCCCGCTGTCAACGCTCCTGCTCTTGACGACAACTACGCTGTCGACGCTTTACTGCACAAATTTGAAGCGCTTACTCTCGACGACGACCACGCCATTGATGCTCTACTGCACAAATCAGACGCTCATATTCTCGATGACGATGCCTCTCAGTTATCAAAACACATGCTACATGATAACACTAATGACAGTCCCAGTCGCCGGCACTTACACACCACCGACACCTTACTTCGAAGTCTCGAGATTGTCCATCCTCGGAATTTTAACTACGACTCACCTTACACAACGATGCTATCGACACCATACTTCGAAGCATACAACCTCCTATTCTGGACGATAGTCCCTCGAACCAAAACGTCAGCCACAACACCCTACTAGCACGACCACAGTATCGACATCCTACCAGCTGAACTCCACACGGCATCTACGAAAAGTGATTGGCCACTCATACTCTCACCTCATTTACTGATATTTCGGTGTTAGAAATTCAATGACGCGCATCGCTTCCAGCACGTCCTTGGTGTCAGAGGTCCCCTACGACCCAACGCCTAATGGCCTCTCTCGTTGTCCCCTACGACATGGAGTCATCCACGAGGTTGAAGGCCCGCACATACTACGCGCCAGCATATCAGCTCTTTGATGAGCCAGAGGTCCCCTACGACCACATCTCGACGACGCATCAAACGACAACGGCCTCCGTTGTTCTCGACGATGTACTTTCTCCTATTTCAATTCCTTCCCTCGATAATGTACCTCCCCCCATTTCAACTATTTCTCTCGACAATGTACTTTCTCACTTATCAACTCTTCCGCCACAGCACACTCTATACACCCACACTATCGACGCCCTACCTGGTCCGTCTCAGCTTTCGGAGCTTCGGTCAACACATGCCCTAGATGATCGCCCTATCGACGACCTAATTCGAGGAGTGTTAGATCTGTCTCTTGACGATGTTCCCACTCAATTGTTGACACTTGGGCCGCATCACGCTCTACACGGCCACTCTGTCGACGCGTTACCCAATAACATAAAAGTTCTTGCTCTCGACGACAGCCTCGCTATCAATATACTACTCAATAACACAGACGCTCGTGCTCTCGACGACAACCACGCTATTGACGCTCCACTGCAACGATCGGAAGCTCATACTCTTGGCTTCGATGCCTCTCAGTCATCGAAGCTTCAGCTACAACACATGCTACACGACAACACTAACGACACACTACTCCACGACGCGGGTGCTTTTTCCCTTGACGACGGTCTATCTCAGTCGTCGGAACTTCAGCTGCAGTCCACCTTGGACGATACTATCAACATGCTGCAGCAAAAAATGGACGCTCTTTCCCTCGACGACGATCCCTGTTGATCACAGTCACAGTACATCCTATACGACGACACTCGACAATAGTCCCCATCACAGTCTCAATCCTCGACACTTGCACCGCAAGACTTTTTACACGACGACGACGCCAACACCCTACTCCGAAATACCGAACCTCTTACTCATGATAGTCGCTCTCAGTCCTCGGAATTTCGACTACAACACACCCTACACGACCATGCTATCAACACCGTATTTCGAAATGTGGAACCTATTACTCAACGGCAGTCCCTCGCAGTCGCCAAATTTCAGCCACAACACATCCTATTAGCCACTGAACTCCGCACGACGTCTACGAATGGTGAGCGGTCCACCCATACTCTTTCCTCCCTTACTAATGTTTCAATGTTATAGTCTCCTACGACCAAACTCGTTAGACGTCGACGCATCTAACATCTCTCCGGTGTCAGAGTCCCCTACGACCAATCCGGATGATACCTAATGGCCTCCCTCGCTGTCCCCTACGACTTGAGTCACATTTTCCACGAGGTTGCAGGCCCTCCACGCGTACTACGCACCCAACATAGCGCAAGTCTTCGATCTACGACCTGGAGGCTGAAGGCCATCGTCCACAGTCTTAGAGTCCCGCACACTAGTAGTACGTCTAGCAAACCAACTTGGTCCCTTCGGGTTTCCTTCATCAACTACCACTACGAAGTTCTTTCGATTTGTGTTCTATTTCATTGGTACGACCATGGACTGTCCATTTAGTTTAATTACGGACGTATGTGATCTATACTTATCTCATTGATGTCTTGTTCCTCTCAATGAATATAATTTTCTTGCATATGTTCTGAAGGCGAGACGTTTTTGAGGCTCAGAACATTCCACTACCGAGACCGTAGTGGCTATCGCATTGCAAGAATGCTCTATTGAGAGAACTGATTCACTTCAGTTTTCTAACGATCCTATTTTATACGTAGCTGTCGGTTTTCGTGTTAGCAAGCAAAAAAGAAAACCGATCTATTGATCAGTCAATAATATCTGATTGTTTTTACGGATAGTAGCAATAGTTGCGTGAAGCTATTTGGGCACAAAACCAAGGGGGTTCAAGTTGCGACCCGAAACATGGCTTCGAACTTATACAGAAAGTCCATGATGAGCCGAGCTGTGATGCATTGATGGGCGGGTGGGCCATAGCAGCTTGCAGCACAGAATCGAAAATAATGCGTCGCTGGCAACAGAATAATGAACGTTAAAAGACAAGAACGAGACGCAGGCTGTCAGAAGGGAGTGGAGGTCGGGTGCAACGAAACGCAAGTGTAGTCGAGCAGTAGAAAACTTGTGAGTACTACGCGGTAGTACGAAGCAAGAAATGTGAGAACCAGAAAAGTTGTTCTTGCATTATCGGCGCTTCGTTGACTGTGATGGACGACCATCGTAGTAGATGCAGTATTTCATGCCTGATATCGTACGGTTTTCCCAAGAACCACTGCAGTCGAACCTGATGATATCATTGCAAGTAGCAGATAAACAACTTCACTGGTAACGAACGTCTGAACACTTCTCTGGTAGTACGTTATTATATCTGCCTTATTCCAGAGTTGAGAGATATCATTTTTAGGACCACCACGATGAGAACACGAGGGCACAAACTTCCAGGATTTAAGAATTGCGGCGTTTTCAGATGTAGGATGACTGCGAATATTGTTGAACACTCTTGGATGATATTAGGTTGAGCTTTCGTGAACCCTTCGCTTGTCACAAACGACCGTTTATATAATCCCGTTTTAGCCTGTATAATATCTCTGGTAGTATATCGGATAGTACACCCGCCTGTCACGCGGGAGAGCGGGGTTCGACTCCCCGCCAGAGAGAATTTTTGACCGACCTCTAAGGCCGGGGCCGGTCATATGCATGACATCGACAAGCAAGGCCACCCGATCGTGTGCAGGAGGCGTTTCGACGATTATTAAAGGGCGATTCCACATCGAAGCCGATTATCAGCACGTATCCAAAATCCAAGTTCAGGTCCCAGGATCGCGTCCAGCCCCGGGACTCTGACTCCCACTATTGTAGCGAACTGCTGCAAATTTGCACGACTCATGTTTCTAAAATTTTTAGCAATGGTTCGGCGCGCCGTCCGATTCTGGTCATGTCAGTGATTACTCCTATGAGCAAGGTGCTCGTGCCCTCCTGTAACCGAGTTACCGGGCGAGCGCTTAGCCGTAGTCGTCTTCAAAGCTTCCACTACGCCTCGCCACCATCTAGATTCTAGCGAGCTTTCCACAGCACTAGAACAAATGTTTATCACCTAGAAATTCCTATCCCTTTGTAGTAAGTGACACAGTTCGAATGCTTCACTGCCTAACTTATCACTGGTTTGCAGAATTACTATGCCAAATTGATGCCAAAACATCATTTCTCAACTTCAGCAGCCTGTAATCTTTGATTCAATGTCCTCGTAAGTTGCAAGGCACCCCTCTTCTATGATTTCTAACTGTTGTACCCAGTTAGTACTCCTTGGAGTTTATTCCTTTTATCTGTATCACCATCACCATCACCATCACCATCATCATCTCCTTTCCAAGGAGTCAATGTCGGCATAGCCATATTTTATTCCCCCTCTTGTTCTCTGACATCATCAACAGCTCTTTAATATGTCTGAAGGAGCTTGGGAGAAGTTTTCTCAGGTTGCTATGAAGGGTGCTGAACATGATTCTCGTGAATACCAGCCCCATCCTAAATGTTTGGAAGGGACCCAAGTAGTCCTTCTCAATCACATTTATGGATTATCAGACACCAAAGAGAAGAATTGACTCATCTGGCTGCATGGCACAGCTGGCATTGGAAAGTCTGCTGTTATGTTCACTGTAGCTGAAAGAATGAGAGGCCTGAAAATGACTGAGGAGATGAAAGTAGAAATGTGGCTCAGTGGAACATTCTTCTTCTTGCACAAGCACACAAAATGCCACACAACTGGTTATTTCTTCATGATGCTTGCTTACCAGCTAGCCATCAATTTTCCCAGCATCCAGCTGGACATGAACAGGGCTATCCTCAAGGATCCCTCCCTTCTAGACCCTGACAAGTCACTTTGCAAGCAGATGGAAGGGTTATTTCTGCAACCCCTGCAGAAGCTTCAATCCAGACTATGTGAATGTCCGCCTTTGATGTTCATTGTTGATGCCCTTGATGAATGCACACACAAATCCCTCAATGAATACTTGTCTGAATCCAGGGATGAAGGCGAATCCAAAAGTGAGCTTACTGAGCTCATCTCCCTGCTTGCCCAAGCTCTTCATGATCCTGATCTACCTTTGATCCACATCCTAGTCATGAGTCACTCAGAAGCACATATTTGCGAAGCCATGCAGAGCGAAGATGTGCGCCCACTGTTGTGCAAGATACCAGTGAAGATTTTAGGGGAGGGTGTTGCTGCTACCATCTCACTAGATGGTGTAGATGTTGATGAAGATATCAATTGTTTCTTGGAGCATTCCTTTGGTAAGCTGCAAAGTTGCTCTCCCACCTTCCTGCAACCAATGAAGGATCAAATTGAGAAGCTGGTGATCTGAGTGGGCAGATGTTTCATTGTGATGTCTACAATGATGAAGTTTATTGATGATTGACACAACGATCCCTGTGACCAGCTTCACCTCATGCTCGAGCTAACATGTGAACTGCTACCAGGAACAGAGGTGTACGAGTTATATGATCATATCCTTTCCACATGCACTGACCTGAAGTGGGCATACCTGCACTTGTCCATTGTTGCTACCCTTATGGATCCTCTACCAATCTCACAAATGTCAGAACTTCTCAGCCCTGGTCAGGGCAGAGATGTTGAGAAAGTACTGGTGCAGCTACAGTCTGTCATAGATGTTCCTCCCAACAGCAGTCTCCCCACAAATATCTATCACTCGTCCATTCGTGACTATGTCCCTCACTGCTCAAACTCCAGTCTCTATATCACTTCACCTCACTCCCTACTCACACATTCTTCTCTCCACTTGATGGTACAAGAGCTCCCAGGTCCCTCAGCCCTATTGGATGTGCTCTCAGTATTGAAGCAGCAGAGTCAAGCTATGGAACCCCATGACCCCAAGAATCTAACACACTCATTATCTTTTATCATCCAGCCATTGGAGCCAATGCAAGTGCTTGCAGCTCTCCTATGGCTTTGGGGAAATTGCAGTTCAGAGTCACAATTCTGGCTAGAAACTCTGGATGGGCATGCCTGGCTGGATACTCTGGATGGGCATACCTGGCTGCAGACTCAAGAAGGAAAGGACTGGTTGCAGACTCAGATGGCACAAAGCTGGCTGGACCTCTCCAACCTGCAGACCCAGCATGAGCCAAACTTGGTCTCCCTTATTCAAACTATATTGGCAAGAGTGCAGTCGTTAGTTCTACAAAACTTGCCACAGACCCAGTGCAGGCAAAACTTAATAGTCTCCCTTAATAATCAGATTATAGCAGAAGGTGTTATGAACTAGGATAGTCGCAACAACAGTTACTCAATAGGAGCAACGACTGGAGTTGAATCAAGACCTTACAAATGTAAGGGTCGTAAGACAAGTCAAAGAGAGTGTCTCTGACTTGAATATTGGTCCAGATGACTTTAGGATTGGAGGTCCTAAGTGAAGGATGTTTCAGGTGAAAACCTAGTAAGATTAAAATGAAGATCTACTAAGTACATGACCAGTCTTATATATGACGACATAAGTACTCTAGGGCAGGTACTTCAGGAGACGAGTCAGAGATAAGAGCTGAGTCAGAGATAAGAGATGAGTCAGAGATAAGAGATGAGTCATCTAACGATGGCTCTGATGAGCAATCGCAATGTAATACAAATATAGACATGAGTCAAATGATGGTGCAGCATAGCACAGTCATGATGTAATACAAATGTATGTGAAAAGAAAGAAGTAAGTAGGAAAATGAATAGGGGCAAGTGTGATTGTAACATTACCCCTTGTTTAGGAATGAAGTCACTGACTTCAGTTATCCTGATTAGCCCAGTAGATAGGGTCGGCATCGTAGTTAGAGTCCAACAAATTGTTTTGTTCCTCCGTAATAGGGAGCGATCTATCAGCCAATTCAGCGGTGTGGTAGATGGCATCCTGCTCAATCTCCCAATGGGCGAGAGCTTCATAAAAACCTGGATCAGTCCAAACCAATGGAATGACTGCTTCCCCTTTTAAGTCTTTACAAAAGACAGATAGGTGTCCGGGTGCATACTCCTTGCAAACCCAACAGTAATACGCCGGGCAGTTCTTGTGGTGATGTCCAGCGGTGCAACAGTTGCGACAAATGACGTTATCAATTGGTGCCATTTTTACTATGGTGATGGCAGTTGACTATGCTGGAGGAGAGGGGGATCTGGATCATCATTTACAATCCTTATGCGGAGAGGCTAATGCGGTTCATTTGGTGGCAAGGCGGGTGGATCTGCGTGTAATAGGGTATTGATGCGTAGTGGGTGTGATGGGGGTAGGAGATGGAGAAGCTGGTACATCAAGTACAGCAATAGGAGGGATATTGCTATTCTGATGCTCATCAGTAGCTGTTGGAGGGATTGGCGGTGGGATTGGAACAGCAACATGTGGAGAAGGGGGGCATGCGATTGGGTCAAGAGCGATTTGCTCAGTGACGATATGAATAGCCTCTCTGATAGCTTCCCTAGTATCATCAGGCAACAGATGGATTGCAGTATTACGAATGCATATATGAAGGTGATGGAAGATGGTCTTGTGATGCTCATCGTCGAGAAGATTAGCAGTGTGCTTGATGAGGCTAGCGTCTCTGATGATTCGGATGATGAGTCCACTAGATATTGCTCCTCTTTCTCCTAAGAGACGATCTATTTCAATGGCGTATTGCTGGGATGTGATAGTGGATTTGAACAGGGCACTGGTCTCCACCTGATCAATGATCAAAAAGTAATCAGTGAGGATGGAGTCAGATGAAGGTGGAGAAACTGCTGGGGAGGATGTGTTGGCGGTGAGGTCGATAGCGGTGGTGGTCTAGTAGTCAAGAAGGAACAATGGGTGGTTGATACCTTCAGTTACAGTGTTCATAGCAGCAGTGAGTTCTTCAATTCATTGAATACAAAGGCGAAGGCATTTGAGAGACATTGTCCTGAGTTCTACAGTTTGTGGGCTTTTTTATATGCAGTGAGGATATCGGTGGCATTGCTAAGGTTTTCTTCTGGAACCCATTTGTTACTGGCAGAAGAATAACATTTCCAGGATAAAAGATAGCGTCTTCATTTACCTGTGCCTTTATGCGATAAGATTGCATCAATCTCATATTCTTCTTCATTATCAATGACGTCTGGGGGTGGGTCATGGAAGTTCAGACTGTGGACTTCTGTCTCATGATAGGACAATAATTTGGAAGCATGGAATGTGGGATGGACTTTCCACTGTGGTGGTAGTTGGAGTGTGAACGTGATGGGGGAAAGAACGGTGGTGATCAGAAAGGGGCCGTATTGTTTCAGTGCGAGCTTTCGTGATGGTAACTGCGTGATTAAATTCTTTCCTGATAACCAAACCTTATCTCCTATCTTCCATGGGTGATATTTCTGCCCATGAGTTCACTCTGCCATTCGCTGCATCACGAGGTTATGGCAAGAGAGTGCTTCTTCTCTTGATTTCTGGAGTAAGTGGAGCCTATCTTCTGCTGCAGGGATGGTAGAATCAGGGAGTACGTGAGGTAGGGCTCGTGGTTCATATCCCATCATCAGGAAAAATGGTGAGGTGTTATGGGAGTTGTGTTTTCGATGATTGTGCATGAATTCTGCCATAGGAAGGTGCTCTACCCAATCTTCAGGGTGATTTCAGCAATAGATCCGGAGGTAGGTTTCAAGTTCTTGGTTGAGTCGTTCAGTCTGACCATCAGTCTGGGGATGATATGCAGTTGATGCAGCTATATCGTATTTCAAGAGCTTGGCAAGGGCTTTTGAGAACTTTGACATGAATTGTGGTCCTCAATCAGAAATGACTTTCTCATGTAGGCCGAATCGGCAATAGACGTATTTGAAAAATTTCTTGGTGACCCCTTCAGAGGTGATGGTTTTAGTGCAAGGGACAAGGATTACCCCCTTTGTAAGCCCATAGTCAACCACGGCCATAACAGAATCAAAACCAGCACAAGGAGGGAGATCAGTGATAAGGTCAACAGAGACCTGGGTGAATGGGGCGGCGGTGACAGAAGGGATAGGGATGAGGGGCGGGGTTGTTGGATGAGTATTGGATTTCATCTGCTGGCAGAGAGCGCAACCTTCAATGTATTTATGGATATAGGTTCCCATAGAGGGCCACCAGAAGTCCCATTTGACCAATTCTTCAGCTTTAAAACGTCCGGGGTGTCCAGCAGTTGCATGATCATGACAACGCTCTAAAATAAGGCGTCGACCAGTGGGGCAGACATAGGCGCAATCCTTGTAATAAAGAATATCATCTTTGATTGTCCAATCCGCAAGAGCAGATTTCATAGGGGGAAGGGAAAGACCATCTAAGGCATTGGAAGCAGCTTTGAAGATGGGGTCAGGGTCGGAGGGGTCGGGATTAGCAAGGGAGGTCATGAGTTCTATGTCAAGTAGGTGAACAAACATAGAATCAGGAAGAAGGGTCTCATTGGTATTATCTGTGATAGAATCTTTTCCATGATCAGGACAGCGGGAGAGTGCATCAGGGGCTGCGAGTTTGGATCCTGCAACATGGTGAAGTTCAATATCATAGCAAGATAGAATCAGTTGCCATCAGGCTTGTTGCCAGGTCAACTTCTGGGCAGTTCTGAAATACAACAGATTCTTGTGGTCAGTGAAGACAATGACGGGGTGAAGATTGCCTTCGAGATAATGATGCCATTCAGTCAGAGTGCAAATGACAGCAAGGAGTTTGCAGTCAAAAATCTGGTAATTGTGTTCTGCAGGGTTCAAGGTCTGTGATAGATATCCACATGGGTGGTAAACACCATTCTTGTCGGTCTGCAGTAATACTGCACTGGTTGTGACAAGCAACGCATCGGTAGCCACTGCAAATTGCTTGCTTGGATCAGGGTTTCGAAGGACTGGTTGCTTCAAGAAACATTCTTTCAAGGTGGAGAATGCTGACGTGCATTGGTCTGACCATAGAAACTTGACATCTTTCTTGGTTAGGTCAATCAGGGGTCTAGCAATGTCAGAGTAATGGGGTACAAAGTTTCGATAGAAGTTGCAAAATCCTAGAAATGACCGAACTTCCTTCACCATCATAGGGGCAGGCCAATCGCAAATACCATCAGTTTTGGCAACATCCATTGCGACACATCTGGGGTGGATTATCATTCCAAGATATTCCACTTCTTGTGCATTGAACGTGCATTTCTCTGGTTTTAGAAACAGTTTCTCTTGGTGAATTCTTTCAAGGATGCACCGGGTTCGTTCATGATGGGAAGTGAGGTCGTTTGAGAAGATCAAGATGTCGTCCATATATATGATGAGCCATCCTTTGTTGATTTCTTGTTGGAACATCCAGTTTATATATGCCTGGAAAGTAGCAGGGGAATTGCAAAGACCGAAAAACATGACGTTTGGCTCGAAGAGACCATATTCCGTGGTAAAAGCGGCTTTCCATCTATCATCAGGGTGGATGCGAATGTTGTTGTAACCAGAACGAATGTCCATCTTTGTGAAGTATTTGGCACCATGTAACCAAGTGACTAGTGAAAGTGGTAATGGGAGGGGATAGGCATTTTTGACTGTCCAGTTGTTGATGTACCAGTAGTCCTGACAGGGACAAAGATCCCCACTTTTCTTTCCTACAAAGAAAAAGCCGCTTGCTTGTGGCGACTTCGACTCAGAAATAAAGCCCTTTTTCACATTTTCATCAATAAAAGCCTTGACAGCAGTTTGTTCTGTTTCTGATAGCGGGTACACCTTGGACGTTTTGGGAATAAAGCTGGGTTTGGTTTCAATACGATGGTCTATACCTGGTCATTCAGGCAGTAGCTGATTAAGACCATCTTTGGCAAAGATGTTGGCGAAGTCATGAAGGTAAGGAGGAACAAGCTCTTTGAACGTTTTCCTCTTTTGTTCAAGCCTGGCCACTAGGGCGAACTGTTGGGCCTTATTGCTAGTTTTGATACATTCCTTGGGGCATGGTAGGGGTTCAACTATGGGCTTCTGTTTCACGATACTGGTACCATCTTTGGTCAGTGGGGTATCCAAAGAGACGTTGGTGATGACCTGAAGCTCAGAAGCGTCAATGGAGTATTCAACCAAAAATTCATCATCATCAAGATGATACATAGCAAGCTCACACACAGGAGGTGCATGTTCTGATGTCCATACATCTTCCTTGGTATCAA